AGGGAACATTTACAGGAACCAATTTTCAGGATTTCCTCTGGACGTTCCATATCATTTCCCAATATTAACCAGCCGATGCTTATCCATTTTTTCCAAAAGTGGAAGGAATCTATAGGAATCCATCATCTTCCATTTTGTTTCCCAATCTATGTTTCAGCATGTTTCAGCATCTCCAGAGAGGTGGAGGGAATCCTCTTCAGCGGTTCCTTTTGCGCCATCTATTGGTTGAAGAAGCGCGGCTTGATGCCCGGGCTTTGCTACTCAAATGAGCTCATCTCCAGGGACGAGGCGAGAAATGCGACGAGCCTTGCAGTTGTTTGGCTGGTCTCATCCTTGAAGTTACTGTCTGATGTCTAATAAGCTTCGGAGTATATATATATATACACATATATATTTATATATATATAAATAACAATAATAGTAGTAATAATTGTTAACTGATTATATATATATATAATATGGATTAATATGGTGGTTCCTAAAATTGGGGGTAGCCCCAAATCATTGCCAAACTATCCAAATTAGAACATGTTTAAGCCTTGAAACCTGTAGTTTTGGGGATCCACCATTTTAAGACACACCCATATATTGTAATGTAAGTAGGTAGTATTGGTTTGATCGCTTACATGTTGGTGCAGACTAGTAACTTGATTGGGAACCTCAAAGGAATGTGCATGTCCATTCTACGACGGACTTGAGATGATCATCCCCAATCATGTCTATGTGATGGCAGTCTTGCATGGGATGCCATGGCTAAAAGAGGTGATCTATGGCGATAATCGGGACCAGACAAGTGGATTGGAACCCCATTTGGGGGTCTGCAGGCCGATTTTAAGCCGGCCAGTCGTTTCCACTTGCCTCAGCCCTCCTAGACATAAATGTGTTTTCCTTTATATCTTGTCCATAGATCCAGGTAAACTTTGAGGGTGCCTTCTTTGTAGCCATGCCTACTTTTGGAGGTGAACCCCCTCCATTTTCTCACAACCCAAGTGCACTTGGGCTTGTCTGAAAATATGGCATACCCCCAAGATTCAATGGTGTAGACCTCATTTTCCCTCTGGTAGAATGGCTCTAACTTGCGGGCAAATCACCCCATCTTCAGGTGATCATCTTGTTGGCGATTCCGAGTATATCCCCATCCCACCAACAATTCACTGATTCCCACCAGTTCCATATATCCCCAGCCTATCACCCTTAACGCATGCCAGTGTGGCCAGGGTCTGCATGCGGATTTCGCCTGCCTCATCTACAGCATGCTGCAGCGCCGGTTGCCCGACGAGGTGGTCCATGCCATCATCCGAGGGGCGGTGCAGGCGGAGCGGAAGTTCATTTGCACCGCGGCAACAGACGCCGATTGGGTGGAATGTCCGTTTTTTATTTTGCGCAGCAAACTTTGGGATTCTATGGATTTTAAGTGATTTTAAATGATCCTAACCAGGAAACAGTGGTGGAGTCACTGGACTGTTTTTTTTGAGGAACAATCTAAAGAACCAAGGTTTTGACCGTCAAATATATAATATGGAGGTTTCCTCGACCGTTTTACCTTGCACCAATTCAACCATTGGTGACACCAGCATGGCATGAGCCGCTGATAATGTGGGCATGAAGTATACATAAGACCGAGGCCAGAAACTAACTGAGGATCTTTTAAACACCAAAATTACATAAAATTACTGTAGAAAAACACGAGGATTACCAATCAATAAGTCGGGGGCAGATCTTCATACCATAAGGGATCAGAAGAAGGGGGGTTCATTTCCACTGGCCATTATGAAATTGCCCAGGCCACCAATTTTGTTGTTTTGATCCCCATAGTTGCTGGTTGAACTTTCATTTTGGTGGATATATCCTCACAATTATACAGCACTTTTTGCTTTTTTGTTGTTAGTGTGGGCATTCCGAGCCATTCACCCATGGTTTATCCAATTTGTGAAGCAAGAATACTCTCATCGCCATGCTCGACGTTGGACTCTGTGAACCACTGACCATATGTCACCTACATCCGCCTACTGTACAACATTTCATGGATATAGCACCCTATATGCTTAAGGAAAAAAACATTCCAGTTTGCAGCTGAATAGTCCTGGTTACGTTTGAAATTCCTGTGCTTTAGGCCAGCTACTGATGGCTACCATATTTCAATGTTTGATCTCAATGTTTGATCTATTCCAATATTGCATTGTATGTACATACATATTCAGTCACGTAGACCTAGACCCTCACTTAACCCATCAAAAAACTAGACTTTCTCCGGGTCTTGGTACTTTTATCCAGTTTTCTGGGTTAACTGAGGGATGCTGAGGGTTTTGTCGGCACATGTCAATCACCACAGTTTTCCAAGGCGAAGCCCTTCCGTGCAACTTGCTGGGCATGAACTCGGTTCCTTGTCGGATCACGGATTGGTTGAACGGATCCAAATTGGGGAAAGCTGGAATTTCTTGGATTTTGAATGATTTGAACATGTACAAATATTGGAAATATAGCTGTAAATTTCTTGGATAATCGATATTTATATTCTGGACATCCTTTTGCTAAGAAATATCAATGCAGTTCTCAGTTCGGTTCAGTTGATTTGCATCAGCTTTGTCTCACTGGATCGGCAAGCGATTTGGTCGACAGGGGACCGTCTCCACACAGATGTGAGTCAGTTCGCCCTGGTAACCCGAGCATACTCAAAAATCACATTCATCCCATCGCCCTATACTGAAACGCCATGAAATGCCCAAATACGGGACCTTAAATGAATGGATCCAATACTAAACCAGGGTTTCGTTTGGGAGGTACTTAGAATTAGAGGGAAGTGGTTAAACATGTCATGTCATATCTCACTTTACTTACCCAAAATAAATTTCAAATTCACTTATATAAATGCCGGCAAAGCCCGGTCCATGGCCCTGAAGATGACTGATGCCAGTGATGCTGGTGGCTACATGAGGACAAACAGTGGCTCAGACTTGATTGACCTTTCAGTAGAATTCCTGAATGGTGAAGGATGCAGGTTGAAGCTGGAAGGTTCCTGCACTGGTCGCGAAGTGTATCGAATGGTTTCAGCACGACTTCCGAACAAAGTTGGACAACCCAAGCTGTATCACGGCAGCTGACCGCTCATCCTGCACAAGGCATTGCAGGAGCAAAGCATTGTGAGCAGGCATGCATCACTCTCTTGTACGTATGTTGCAAGAAATCTCTATGAGCATGGCGCACTGTCCAAGGGTTCCAAGTCTTTGAGAAAGAGATTGCATTGGAGGGAGTGACCTGGATTGAGGGTGCAACAACCACCAAGTATTTACCACAAACTCTTGCACACTTGACATTTGGCAGAGACTCTAATCAGAGCCTGAAAGGAGTGACCCTGCCGAGCAGACTTCAATGTTTTGCGTGTCGTTCAGTTCGAGTCAAGATAGTTTGATCTAAATTTGGAACAGGATGGAACAAATGAACAGCGAACATTGTGAGCAGGTCCAGTTTTAGGTCTACAAAACATGGGATCAACATTAAGGTAAACTGAGCTGTATTTCTTTGTGCGACCGACATCCACATGCTGGCAATTGCAATAGATCCTTGTGTTACATCATTCGGGGCTCACCATGGCAAGCTTGTCAATCCCAAAAGCTAATCGATGCTAGTCGTAGTCGAAACTGCGTTGACATGCCACAGTCAATCCAATGCGTTGGGCCCATCCTTGCGCCCAGTGATCTTGTCGGTGAGAGGAATCCATGGGGCTGCTGCGGCCACATGGTGTGTAGCAACTCCCAGAAAATGCTTAATTATGCTAAAAGAAGGATCGTTTACTGTTATATCTTTTTTGGGGTTACTATCCCTAAGGATCAAAAGATGGTGCTATAAATTCACTTATCAGAAAGTAGTTGTTTTTAAGCTACTTAGGGGTTAAAGGGTGGTAAGTGCATCAAATTCCCATACTTAACGGAACTCGTGTTTTTCCGATAAAATTGGGAATCAGATTCAGAGCAATACCTAGAATCTCAAAGCCATGTGTTTTTGTCTATCCATGGAGATCTGGTTTTGAAGGGGTTGTCACGGGCTGTCACGGCCTGTCGCGGTCGTTTTCCGATAAGTCAACATTTTTAGTAAGAAAATATGGGGATGCATGTTTTTTGGACCTGGGCACCCTTTTTTTGGACCTGTACATGTTTTTTGGACCTGACCGGAATTTTTTTTGGACCTAGGGTCACAAAAAATGTGGGGGACTTGCTTGTGTGTTTTCTGGACCCTGTGGGGATATTTTTTTTGGACCTGCATGTATTTGTGCTGGACCCAGGGGAATTTTTTTCGACAGCCAAATTAATTGTTTTTGAGCTCGGTTTCTGCTTTTTGGACCCGTGCGCCTGCTTCGTGGACCTTGCCTCCATAGGGTGGGGGGGAAACTCCATTGTTATAGGCGCTCACATTGGGCTGGATGTTTTTGGACCTTGGCGCCTTCTTTTTTGGAACCCGTACACGTTGTTTTGGACCTGGCAAAGGGCGGGGGGAATTTAGATACTGAGACAAGATGCATGCAAGAAGTTGTTGATGCCGGCCGGGGAAGTTCCAGCATTGAAACAATAAAAACGTAAGAAGTGGTGGAGAGGCCAATGGGGGAAGTCTATGTATGAAGCGAAATGGACGCAGGAAATTGACGGGCACATAGGAGAAAGGGAAAGTTCGATATTGAAACAGGATGAGCGCAGAAAGTTGTTGAGAGATGAGGGGTGAAGCCTAGGCCTAGACATTGAAACGAAATGAAGATACATGAAGATACATGCAAAAAATGCTGAGAGACGCAGGGGGAATTTTTGGGACCCGAAAATGAATGCCGGAAGAGGGTGGGGGGAATTTAGATATTGAGACAAGATGCATGCAAGAAGGTGTTGAGAGAAACGGGGGAACATGTAGATATTGAAGCCAGGTGACCGCAGAAAATTGGTGAGAAAGAGGCAGGTGGGAGAGGGGAAAGTTAGACATCGAAACAAGGATGAACGCAAGAAGTTGCTGAGACGAGAAGCGGAAGTCTAGATATTGAACCCAAATACGGTGCATGCAAGAAGCTGTGGAGAGACGAGGGGAAGCTGATATATTGAAACCGCATGAATGCGGGAAGCTGTGGAGAGGCACCGGTGGGGGGGACTTTAGGAGGCCACGGTGGAACCAGATATAAAACCAAATGAATCCAGGAAGTTGCTCAGGGGCACCGGGAATATTGAAGCAAGATGAATGCAGGAAGTTGTTGCGGGGCACCGGGGAGGAAGCTTAGATATTAAAGCAACATGAACGCAAGAAGTTATGGGGAGGCTGCGGGGGAAGTATAGATATTGAAACCCAATGAATGCAGGAAGTTTAGGAAGTTTGATGAGAGGCACAGGGGGGGAAGTTAGATATTGAAACCAGATGAGCGCAAGAAGTTGTCGAGAGACAAGGGGGGAAGCTTAGACATTGAAACCAAGTTGAGATGCATGCAAAAAGTTGTCAAGAGGCCAGAGGTGAAGTCTTGAGACCAAGCAAATGAATGCAGGAAATTGGTGAGAGGCACAAGGGGGGGAAGTTTAGATATTGAAGCCAGGTGAATGCTCCCAAGTGGGGCACAGAGGTGTGAAGAGTAGAAATTGAGAAGAAGAGGGCAGAATGGGAAGGAGGTGGGAAACCCAATGTTTCACAAGGAGATGGGCGCTGCAACCCCTGGAGAGTATAGATATTGAAGCCCAATGAATGCAGGAAGTTAAAGAAGTTTGATGAGAGGCCCCGGGGTGAAAGTTAGATATTGAAACCAGATGAGCGCAAGAAATTGTTGAGAGACAGGGGAAGCCGAGATATTGGAACCAAATGCATGCAGGAAGTTGCTGAGAGGCACAGGGGCGCAGGAGAAGTTCGGATATTGAAACAGCGTAAAGGCAAAAAGTTGTGGAGATGCAACGGGGGGAAAGCTACATATGAAACCAAATGGATGCAGGAAGTTGACAGGCACATTGGGGGAAGAGAAAGCTAGATATTAGAACAAGATGAGCGCAATAAGTTGCTGAGAGTTGACGGGTGAAGCTAGACATTGAACCCACATCGGCTGCAGGCAATGAAGACCGTCATGGACAGATGTGTAAACGTACCGGCGAGGGGGTGCTCCTGGGCGCAATGGTCGCAGCTGAGGGTGCCACATGAGTCGACATCGAAATCAATGTAGCCTCGTTGGTTAGTATCTGGTCACAGGACGTATGGACATGTAGACGCGGCTGGAATGCAAGAAGATGAATGCAAGAACTGTGTCTAAAGAATTGCGATCAAGATGTGGCTGGACAGAAACTGGAGAATCTATCCAAAGGGGGTATGGTTTGTGAGCAGACCGTGTACAGGAAAGGCTTCCGGCCATGTTGCATGCTAGCTGCTAGCGCGGTCAAGGCTCCCGGACTGGCTTTACCCCTCGCAAGCAGCAACGAACTCACCAGTGACCGCGGCTCTAGCCCCCTACTGTCCAGGCACGGCAGCCAGGGTAACTGTCATTCCTGTCACACAGGTTGGAGTTCAAGGCTCCCAGACTATACCCCTCGCAGGCAGCAACGAACTCACCAGTGACCGCGGCTCTAGCCCCCTACTGTCCCGGCACGGCAGCCAGGGTAACTGTCATTCCTGTCACACAGGTTGGAGTTCAAGGCTCCCAGACTATACCCCTCGCAAGCAGCAACGAACTCACCAGGATTAGTGTCCAAGTCGGTTCAAGCTGTGAGGACAACACTACATGGCACCTCCTGCCCAGTTGCATGCTAGTGCAGCTCTAGCGCCCTACTGTCTGAAAAATTGCGATGCAGACGCGGCTGGACAGAAACTGGAGAATCTATCCAAAAGGGGTATGGTTTGGGAAAGGGCCAGGTCGAGCAGGAGGGAAGGATGAGGTCCAGCAGGAGGGTGTGCAGGTCCAAAAGAAGGGTAGCCATCTCCAAAAGAATTGTACTAAGGTCCAGTAAAAGTGCCCAGGTCCAAAAGAAATGTAACGAGGTCCAAAAAAAGTGTTTTCCGAAAATATGCATTCGTCACGGGGTGTCACGGGTTCGTCACGGTCTGTCACGCACAACCCAAAAGTAGATCCTAACAAATTTTGACATATTGGGTCTTTTAATCATTACTGTTGCCTAGACATCCAGGAAAGTCCGACAAAAATCCGATAAACATATATAAAAATCCGATAAGTATATGTTTTTGGGCATTGTCAGAAAGTACCCTTGTGGGACCTACTTTGCCGATACTGCCCTATTTGTCTACTTCCATCCTCAGGGTATATTATTCTAATCAACATTGTTATAGATCCAACGGGTTTATTATTGTTTGTGTTCTGGGTCTCAAAGTCCGGATTAGTTGAAACATGGGCGGTGTCGACAAGATTTGCTGGAGACTTGACAAATAGGGCCCGAAATCAAAACCACAAACTCAAAAGTTGAGTAGTGAACAGTGATCAAAACTCAGTTTGATTTCCATTGAAAGGGCTTTCAGCATTCAGTTCCAGGAAATTTGGAGGATCCATAAACCAGGAAATCGAAGAGAATCCGTTGCAAAGTTTTTCGGATTTTGCTCCACCACATATCTCATCAGTTTCCAGCAAAATCATCTCGCGTTCCCAGGTACTGATGGCGCAGTACATCGAATTTGTGGCGGATCGGCTCTTGGTTTCCTTGAACCATCCCAAGATCTTTCACAGTTTCTCAATGCTGAAACTGGCCAGAAAGTGGTTTTTGTTTGGCTCAGGCCTTAATTCATGTATATATATATATAATAAAAGACTATAAAAGTGCATATTGCGGTACATGTAGATAGCATTTTTGGGGAGATGAACATCCAGCTGTTTTTTCATTCGCAAACCAGGACATTGATCGCCATATTCCACAAAAACTCCGCGCGTTCCAGGTTCGAATCCATTCGACTGGATGGAGATGATCAGTCTGCAAGGGAAGACCAACTTCTTCGAAAAACGTGTGGGGGAATATCAGAAAGCTGGCGTCATGGCCACCATGAACAGCATCAACACTGACACAACTGTGCCGGAGACGGAGAAGCACCACGCGTTTTGATGCTTGGACTGCTTGGAAAAATCGCTGATGATCTGTGTACATCCAGATGTTTGGTGGGTTTTGTGATGGGGTGTTTAATCATAGACGTAGATGTTCTATAGTTTATTTCTGTCTAAATTGATTTACCATTGGACTTACCTCATATCAGGTACAAAAAGGTGAACTTTCAGAGGAAAAAAACGATTTACACCACCAAGCAAGCGGTATGCCCCAGTCGAAGGAATGAATGGCCAGGTATTCTGCTCTTGATGCTTGCTCCCTCCAAAACGGCTACCGAATATTTATTTCAAACTGACGTCCTGTTTAGACTTGACTGAACATGTTTATCTATGCAGTGGAGGCCATGCTTGGGGCCCTTTCAGAGACAACATGCTGATGAGACCAAAGTCTTAAAGCTCACAATCACGAGGTCTTGATGCTGATTTCTGAGGACATGTGACCCTCTCTTGACCCAGAAACATTGGATTAACGCTTAAGCATGTTGAGATATTGCCACATGTTTTTGTACTGTTACATTGTGTTTACATATTTGTTTAACCATGGCTATGGTTAGCTACTGCAGCAACCCCGAAGCGTGGAAGCGCATTGTTTTTTTTGCCAAAGTCTCACGATGCGTGAAACTTTGTGATCGCTCGGGAGTGGATTCCCGGATGGGTTCCTTTTCTAGAACAGCGATGACAGCTGTTTGGCCATTTCAGTGTAGAACGCTATCGTGGTTTGTTTTTGTGCTTCTCTGGGAAAGTAGACCTTCGCCAAATTCTCGGATTAAGTGTTCATCTTCCCGGCCAAAGCGCGCATGCAGCAAGTATACAGCCACAAAAAAAGCTACTGCAAGTATACAGCCACAAGTATATTATTCTTTTTAGCCATATAGCCATTTGGCAGTTATGTCATTCCGATTCGCATCCCCTCCTGTTTCGTTTGGCGGGCAAGCTGCCAAGAAACGCGATCGCCAGTGAGATCAAATGCAGCGGCAAAACCCGAGGGGATTTGGCAGGTAAGCCTAAGCCTTGGTCTGGTGACAAATAGATGAGATTTGATTTGAGCTGGCAAAATAAAAAAAAATGAGGCTTCAGTATCATTATACGTAACGCTTGTCCAAGCTTAGCAACGCATTTGGTTGCATTCGTTTGGCGTTTGGCGATACTGGAGAATATTGGGAACTCTTTCTTGGTTTTCCCACTCACATGATATGAAAAGAAGGTGCAAGACTCAGAAATCAAGGTGAGTTTGTCTCGTACCCAATTCCTCCCAAACCGTACCATTTTGGAATGGGAAATCTCGTCAAAATCACCAAATGTCCTGCTAGAAGAAGTCAATCAATCTTGGACTCTTCGCCATTGCCATGCCAAGAATCCGTTTGTTTGTTGGTGATATTTGATCTCATTGTCCCAGCCTGTACAGTGATTTTCAGCCGACTCTGGGCGCAGTCAAAAGGTCGGATCTTGGTCGGATCTTGGTCGATTTTGCGAGGGAAAGGTTGATGAACCAACTCCAAAAATGGAGGTTTGAAGAGAAAAATTATGGTGTTTCAGCAGATGAATACCGCAATCGTACTACGTGAATCTCATGAAATCTGACGAAGTATATATTGTTTGTTCCAGTTCTATTTGGAATAACGATCCCCAAGTGACCTTTATGTTTTTGACGGTGGATTAAAGGAAACATCAACACATTCCACATTCGATGTTTATGGGACACTATGGGATTCGCCCTCATGATGGTGTTTGATGGTTCATAAAGCCTAAATCTTTAGTATCGGCCAAATATATAGATCCTTTTCCCTCTCAACACACATCATAGTTCATTTTCCCTCAAGTCCAGCACAGGCAAAGCTGTCAAGCGACGCCCGAAGGATGCTGATACTTCGGCTATGAGGTTGGAACGGTTGGGTACATGATCACTGGATTCCCAGGTGCAACCCCGGAGGTTGGCACAAAACATGATCATAGTTGAATTGGGTTTCTCTCAATCATTTGCGACATCACCAGATTCGATGGTTGATCTTATGTTTCCAATTAACATGATCATGGTGATTTCATGGGTATAAGAGGTATAATACGGTATAACGGTAAAACCATGAGTAACCATGTATATCAGTCAAACCCACTTCAATGGCGTAAAATCTATTGGTGGATGGCTGGTTGGTGGAATAATTGGATCATTGCATATATGATCGACAGCAAATGGCCGACCCACACCCTGCAAATGATGGATGAGACGATCATGGTCATGGAGATGGTCATGGAGAATGATGTGGCAGAAACATGAAACATAGTGTGAGATCAAAGAATATACCTGAGGTATTTGCCTTATTGAAGTGGAAATCTCGTCAATGATGGTTGATTGAGGGTTGGAAGAGCCCCCAACTAGCAGAATCCACTCCCAGGTATCTAAGCTTTTGTAAAACCCCGGTTGATGTAGGTCAAATCATGTCAAATCCATTTCTCAGTCCGTGGTGTCAGGCGTCCCAAGCCCGAAGCCGTCGCACCTGGCATGTTGACCGTTGACGGATGGATCGGAGGGGACAGAGGGGATGGGAGGATCAACGAGCAACGATAGCAACGGCGCCAACAAAAATGAGGGCCAGTCACATAGTGATGGTTGGCTATAGGGTTTTGGTCAGGATTAGCTAAGTTTAGTTAGGATTGGTTGGTTGGGCGTGTTTCATGTCATTTTTTGTTGATCTTGTTTTTGTTTGGGAATTATGATCAACATTTGTCAAAATCTAGTGCCAGTGGTTGAGCTGGGTTTGTAGAAGGAAACAGTGTGCAAAGCCAACCAGTACGAATGGTGCATCACTCTCATTCTGTCATCATAAATATGTGTGTATCTGTATATGTATTGTACACGGTATATTTAGATATATTTAATATATTAATACATCAAATGTATCCCCACCCCTAGAAAGGAATGAATGCAACAATGACACATAAACCATGTATGTAAAAAACAATGTGAAAACATACATATATCATGACACTAAACACCCACATTTATATAATCCCAAATTTCTGGGTAATGATTGATGTTTGCCAAAAAGCCAAAGCCTTGTTGCTGTCTCCTCTGTTGGTCCAGGCCGCATTTCCTCCATCACAGCCGCTGCCTACCAAGGAGGTTGCAAAGCGAATGTGGTAGATGTTGCTAGTCAATCCAATCGTATTCAAATTAGGATGGGACATGCATGCGGTTTAAGGAACCCTTTTTACTGGTTTTTGCAATTCTCTCTGGGGATTAGCAGTTTTAACGACTAAACAACGGGGATTAACCAAGAACTCAGGGGATTTAATGGGTATAAATCGTGAATGACTTCATACCATGGCTGGATATGATTGGGGGATCAGCTTCCAAGTGACAGCTGCTGGCCATTCTTGATGTGAAGAGCAGGGGTAGAGAGTTTTGACCAATCTCCAAACGCCTATCTCAGTAAAGATTCCGCGGGCTTGGAGGCCTTTAGGATAGCAACTGTCTGGGTAAAACTTGATTAGTTTGTTGAATCCGTTATCGATTTGGACCTTTTGATGGACGTATTTTTTTCGCACCAGACTTACCTCTATTGAGAGGCCTCCAATCTGAGCTATGAACAGCTGGTGTTTCAGGTCCCCACCGTGGTACGGTGCAGTCAACCAACTGTCGCCAGGCTGCCAAAGCAGGTGGGGAAGATTGGGGAAGTCCAATTGGCCGATGATCTCAGCTATGGCAATCCAAAATGGGGCACTCTAGTGGACCCACATTTCTTGTGGTTCGTCAGTTTTTGTCTCAGTAGTGAAGCGAAATGAGGGGGAGTACCCCACGAAGATCATCAATATTCATCAATCTGTTGACGTTGTTTGACGGTTTGTGAAGTGTTTGATGATTTTGACGGAACATGAGAATCATGAGATGGTGACATTCTGGTCATGTTTCATGATTTCCACGAGATGGCTCACCATCCACTGGGGTATCCAGTGTGCTGGCTTGGCTTGAACTTTGTTGCAAGGGTGGACTATGACTATAGGCCTTGATTGATGGCGATGAAGTTGGACTACTGTAACTTTTTTAAAAATCCAAGAGGCCACAATCATCTTAGATTGCAGCACAAACGAGAGAGGCACCAGCGTACTTAGGATTTTGATTCTGGTTGCCAGTGCAAGAGGACCATCATGCGTGCTACTAATTAGTTCCATGCAGGGAAAGCGTGATTTTGGCCTCCATGATGAGCTACTCGTGCTGGGTAAGCTAATTTTTAGACGTTATGTTTGTCTGTGATTTAGCAGCCACCCCCCTACCTCGCCATAAACAGCGCTTAAGCGGCCAAATGGCCTTACCCTCTCATGATCAGTCAACAGAAAATCTGATCATTTCAATTCATGTCATATAATTTCCACATGTTGTTTCGTGAAAGACATAGGCATGTTCTATGTCCCTTGCCATGTTGGATCTATCTACGGCTAATCGAAAGAAACGTGGCAAACCGATGGTATAAACATGTATAAACCATCCCCGATGGTCCCACATCGCCAGGAGATGCCGAGTGGGGAGCTCAGTAGTGCCCCAGCAATGGAGATCCAATCGCAAATTATCTCTGAAGAAAAAACAAAAATGAAACAACCAAAAACAACATATTCAGCTTGTGTCTGATATCAATGCTGTATAATGTTGCATATGCTTATGGATATGAAATTTAAAATACATACTACACAAATGCAAATCAATGAAAATAGAGAATCGATGAGAATCGATACCATGCTAAATTCTCCTAACGTCATCACCATCTGATTGCAGCTTGCGAAGCACAGCTGAGGTCAAAGAATCCCACTCTTCTGCAGCCCAAAGCCGCGGCCAACGCAGCAGCCCTGAGGGAGCAGATCCGCTCCAAAGTGTGGCTGGGCATAGCAGGAGTTTTTTCTTGGCCTCGATGGGGGATGATGGGGGAATATATTAACATAGTAACGATCCAAAGTAGTTTGTTTTTCTGTGAGGTAACTATAGGAGCCGTGTTCTATTGTAAACATCGCTTCTGGTAGTACTGTTGGAGGTTGCAGGTAAACTTGGTTAAAACATGCTAAACGGGTTTAAACCTTTTATATGTTGAATATTTTTGAATCATATGTCATATGGGATATAGGCCCAGTGAAAAGCATCGGCTAGCTTCAGGCATTATCCCAGTAGTAACAGAATGATTGTTGGGAATCAAAAATCAAGCAATAGATGGCCTATGGTTGCTGGTCTTTTTGAGGGCTACCTGAAATGTTGGTGACATAGTGATCAAAGCTGACTTGTGCAGAGGAAATATGAGGCAGACGAAAAGCTGAGTTTTGCAGCAGGCTCTTAGTAACAGTTCAATAACAACACTCTATCCTGCACAAAACATTGACTCATATACATTTATATACTATACCTGTTTTGACATTTTAAGCCGAATACGGGACCTGAACCACTTGAAACAATCTTAGCAGCGGTGAAACGGTCCGAAGGTTGGTGATGAGTGCAGAACCTACCAACATGGGATGCAAAGCAACCAGGAAAATGTGGAAGGGTCAGAGTCAAAGCTATGTGTTTTTGTTTGCAATAGGATTGCTTATAAAATGGCCAGCCCATGTGTGGATTTGGTACCGTTATTCTGTTGACCTAGGATCGAACGCCACTGCTTGCAGCAGATTGCAGCAACACAGGAGCTATGGATTAGGGGTGCCCTTTTCCCCAAAATAAACGCACCAGAGGAACCCTGACTGACTATGGAGTCCATGGTGGTTGCAATTTATCGTGCTTATATTTGTTGGAATTACGTGAGGTTCGGAAAATGGTCTAGGTACCAGGTTGGTAATCAAACATGGCGATGGATCATAATCCCATGGATTTTTCGATGATTTCCCAGCGAGTCGTCAACCTTTATGGCTAGGCCACGGGATTTCCCGGTTCGCAATGTTTGACGAAATGGGAGGGTAACCTTTTAGCGAGGATGTAAGGAGACATATATCCCATCACTATCCATCACTAACCACCTTGGCCAATCAGCTCCCTAATGCCGGGAATATCCCATATGAGCTCTGGGAACATTGATTCAACAAAGAACTGAGAAGATACTCACATATCTACAGTATCATTTCACCCCATAAGCTCTTTAGGACGTTGATTTACATTTATCAGCTTTGAGAGCTGCTCCCTCTTGAACATCCAACAGCAGTTTGTCTCAATAACTGGTTCTCACATTGGTGTAACGTATTTACCCCGGCCATAGAATATTCATGGGAGCCTCACTTGATCCATAAACAAACATTAGTATTCTGCAAAAAATAATTGCGGTGTATTGCCATATTTCACCATGTTTGATGGGTCAACTAAGGGTCAATGTAATTATTTCTATGAACATGGTGTAATGATGTGTAAGTAATAGTTTTTTCAGTTTCCCCATTAAATAAAATAGCCAATTTTTCATGGTCTCCCCTACCCCAATTTCCACCTCAGGAGCCGGCCGCTCCTCTTCCGACCCAGGCCGATCGGATCCGGGGATTTCATCGCAGCAGTTAACTGCGTGTTTGATTGAGTCGGTTTCAGCGGACATATATATATATATATTATATATATATATTATATATATATACTATATATAATATATATATATTATATATTATATATTATATATATATTATATATTATATATAATATATATAATATATATATAATATATATAATATATATAATATATAATATATATATATACCCTATGGATCCGAACACTGTCTAAGAAGCTACGGCTAACCCCCTAAATCATACCCCAAGTACTTCCTAAGAAGGTACTTGGATCCAAAGGGATGTGGTATAAACGATCAATGCTTGTTGATGATTATATATAATGGATCTTGTAGGCGGTTATGAACCTATAGTACTGTAGTACATTTGGGTTTGTCTCACGATTTGGAACCCCGAAATGTCAAACTTTGGGTCGCTCAGAGGCCCACGCGAGATCTCAAATCACAAGATGGTTTCCTTCAATGTGATTCAGGGCACGAAGAGAATCGAAGACCATGTGAATCAAAGTCTTAGGAATGCCAGAGTAAATTCCGTGGCTGAGATTAACAAAGCATCAACCAAACACGAAATTGCCCCAGGAGAAGTTGGAGACTTCGAAGCAGGCGGCGCAGGATGTGACTTCATGTGAGTGCATTCTAGCGACATTAAAGCACGTTGGCATGAGAACTTGACCCACAATTGGGAAGAACATGAAACAACTATGAAGAACTTATATCTTTGGCAAATACCTGAAGTACCTGAAATGAATAGAAACTGAATGTACTCAGTCTTTGAATCCCAGGTTGATTTGGGATGGACATGACCCCACAGCAGAGGTGGAAGAGGTGAAGAAAAATGGCCCCAAGAGGAAGGGCAAGAAAGATGCTGAGGCCCAGCCTGGGCTTCAGTAAGAAAACAGGTTATGCTGTGGATGGAAGACATCCTGCACCATTTGGTAACTGTTAGTAACTTTGAAACACGGTCAATAATGTGATTATAAGGAGATAAGCCATCTACCAACTGGTGCAGGATTTCGCAACCAGCAACCGTATGAGGGGATATTGTGGGGATATATACAACTGCTATGAGGTGGATATGCAACTGGATATGCAACTGTGTATGTACCCTACTATTAGATATATGGATGTGTCCAAAATGGGTGGTATACATCAAACAACAATGTGTGTGAAACACATATTAAAACATAATAAAACTATATATCAAAACACATCTCAATAATTAATGATATTACATATATATATATTATTTATATATACATTAAATGTATAGACTATATATATATATACAGATAGATTTTCGTGGTGGTTTTCCAAAGGCTGGGCACAATTTCTCGCCCAAAGAAGATCACCCCAGACGTTGACCCAATGGCTTTGATGTTTCCGGATTTTGCGAGACATGCTGTGAATCGCGAAGTAACTGACTTTTTCAAACATGAGTGTGCCTGGCAATATCTTTATTTTGGTGTTGTTGCGTAGGCATATGGTATTTCCCGTGCATGATTTGATGTTGTTTTCATCCACAACTTTTCCAAGTGTTGCTTGCAGGTCCGGAAGAAGAAGGAGGCACCAAAACAACCAGGGGAACCTGATCCGTCGATGGGTTTCTGGCCGTACAGTCTGGGATTTGTCTTATTTGATCGCCTTACACTGTAGAGTTTGCCCCTGAACATTGACTAAATGCGCTGTGTCCTTCTTGTTTTTGTCAAGCTTTTTAGATCAGCCATCGACAATGACACTGACATTCAATGGTTGACACATCGCTGCTTTTTTTGGTTACAGAAGTTTCAACAAATGTAAGACCCCGCTTGTTTGAACAGCTTTAGCCCTTTTTCTGGATGGACTCCTGGTAATTCCCAGTTTGCATTTCAAAACTTTATTTTGACCAAAGCATTGCAAGTGATGAAGACATGAACCCCACCACGGATTCTTTTTCTATAAATACTATTGTGATATATTGTGATCAATAAATGACTGGGGTTTTCATAGGTCAAAATCTATTGAATAGTGACAATTCATCAAGTATCTATTAACTATATGATTTGATACTACGTGGAAAGAAATAGGATATAGACCAATAATTACAAGATGCTAATAGACTAATTCATTATGTTTTCTGACCATGAATCCATGAATTAATCGGACCTAAACTTTTGGATAGTAATTATTCATCCCATGGGTCAAAGCCTATGATTTCCCACAGGTGGAAGTCTCAGTTTCCACAGGTGCGCGTGTCTCGTAGGGGGGGTGGACAAAATAGGTCTTAAAGGCACCGAACTATAGGTGATTTTGGTTGAAGGTAATTTGCAGTGTGTATATATATACATATATAACTCGAACTATTGCCATTGGGTCTTAACAAACACATGTAGGACATTATTTATGAACAAGGTACAACTTAGTCATATATATATATATATGTATACATATAGTGTGTATATAGTACATATAATATGTACATATACATATGTATATATATATATATATGATTATACAATATATATATGTATATATATATACATATATATATTGTATAATTATATATATATACATATGTATATGTACATATTATATGTACTATATACACACTATATGTATACATATATATATATGACTAAGTTGTACCTTGTTCATAAATAATGTCCTACATGTGTTTGTTAAGACCCAATGGCAATAGTTCGAGTTTTAATTCATTCAGAGGGAATTAGTCCCCGTTCTGGAGAATTGTCATTACAATACATGTTTTCGTTCAGGGCGATACTCTTGTGGGTGCCACCAAAGTGACCAAGACTTGCAGTTACAGATATTTGGGTGTATATATAAATATATACACATGTCAATATATTTATATATATACATATATCTATGTGTGTGTGTTAATATGTTTGTGTTCATATACATGTGTATATATATATATTTAGATATGTATACATATATGTATCTATATGTATATGTATATGTATGTATGTAATTAAATGTAATGTAATGTAATGTAATGTAATATGATGTAATGTAATGTAATGTACTGTACTGTAATGTAATTAAACGTAAATGTAAATGTAAATGTAATGTAATTAAATGTAAATGTAATGTAATGTATGTATGTGCATGTGTATGTATATGTAGATGTCTTTGTATCTGTATATGTATATGTTTGTGTGTTTGTAATGGATGTAATGGATGTAATGTATGAAATGTATGTAATGTATGTAATGCATGTAATGTAATGTAATGTGATGCAATGCAATGCAATGCAATGCAATGTAATGTAATGCAATGCAATGCAATGCAATGCAATGCAATGTAATGTATGTATTTATGCATATATATGTGTGTTCATAATGTATATGTATATATATATATACATGTATGTGTGTATCTGTATGTATATAAAAGTATATATATATATGTATATGTATGTGTATATGTATATGTATATATATATATATATGTATATATATATTAATATATATATATACATGTATTTATATATATACATGTATGTGTATATATATATATATATGAGTTGAATACCACATAGATATATGGATGTGTATGTGTATATGTATATTTTTATATATGCACATCACACACATAAGCTTCAGTTTAGTCATTTAGTCAGATTGATTTGGCAGGGGGGTTGTCCCAAAAACAATGTCAGGTTTCCCTCCGTTTTTGTTACATGGTGCATTCCGACTTTCCATTGGTTTCACCGGTCCGCTTCATAAGTTTCTTGGATTATTACTATCTAGAATATTGAACAGCCACACGGTGATCGATGATACAACAAATGGTATAATTATCTGAAAACCCGCTAAACACATCCAAGAATTATATTTTCGATTTTTTGGACATGACTGCATTCACTAATGTTTATTGTTGAGTTTCGGTTGCTAGTTACTTCTTGGTGACTTAGTAATGTCCTCCAGCTTTACATCTTTATTGGTTTAAACTCGATCAGTCGGCCCAGGGACAGAGAACCGTGCGTGAATTTGTGTCAAAATTGTCCATTTCCATTTTGGTCTGAAAATAGGATACCTCCAAATCAACTCATTATATTTATATATATATATATTATAATCATCTTTTCCTCTGTGATTTGATGGCCTTAAATGGGGTATTTATATAGTACACCCATGTACACCCCTAATTCCAGTGGGACAGTTTCCTTTCCAGGTGCCAAGAAGGCCGACATGAAGAAGAGTCGTGACCCCGACGTGGAGGCGAAAAGGAAAACCACCACGGGCTTCCGGTGCTCGAAAACATGGCTAGCTGAGAATTTTCCCCAAGCTCATTCTTAGATGTTACTAGTAGCCATGATAATGGTAAAACTCATTGTGACCCATTAGATCATAGAATTCCATTAGAATTCCATGAGACTTATAGTGAATACAGTTTCCAGTGCACCATTACTATTTTATATATCCATGTGTATTCGTTATATATAGAATTGTGCATTCCATAATAATAACAATAATAATTATTTTAGTAATTATAATAATATCATTATTATGACATTATCAATTATTATGCGTAATATAGTACCATTCATATCCATTGTCATTTTTCTGACATTATCCATTATTCTGGCTAATAATAGCAATATATTATCATGCACCATCATGGCTATAGTCAGCCATAGTACTAGTAATGACTTCATCATAAAATAACGATTATGATATCAGTGATCCATTATTATTGTATTCATATGGTGACATTTTGAGTATCCATTATTATAATACTTATATTATTCCATATTATTTCATATTCCATGTTTTAACTAATTATGGTATTATTTCGTTATCATGGTTTATAGCATTCATATGTTGGTATTTAATTAATGTTATAGTATTCCATAGTCCATTATTATGCTATTGATATGGTGATATTTTGGATATCCAGTTTTATAATACTTTTATTATTCCATATTCTTCCATATTATTACATATTATAACATATTATTCCATATTCCCATTTATTAATGGATTATGGTATTATTTCGGGGAATATCCATTACAAATCATTATAATACCATCATGTATTTAGTACCGTCATAATTATTATGATAACAGTACCATCATGGTTATTATCATGGCTTGTTTAATTTCATCACAATAATATCCATAATACCATGACCATAATACCATCCACATCATAGACGCCAGGCTGCTCTGCAGAAGTTGGCCAAGACCGCGCCGGTCAGCTCCGGACGCGTGAGCGGCCCGGAGCTGCTCCGGGAGGCGCTGTGGTGCCAATGTTGGGCAGATGTTGTTTGGAATGTTTAATTGAAACCAGCAATGTTTGTAGTCTTACATTCTACTATAATTTGTATTTATATGATTTTATAGTGTATTATGTATTTATGATTATGTTTGATCATTTATACGTAGCCATTATAGCCCCATGATATACCAAAAAATTGCTACATCGCATTGAGTATTGCTGGTCAGTTATATCCACTAGTTCTATGCCCGTGAATGGGATATACTAACCAGGTGTGTATTAAAATTTCCCAATAACACAATAGTTATATCCAAGTGTTAATCATCATAAACCATGATGATATCCCCGAAAATCATCCTTTTTCATATCCCATGTATCTAAAGTACATCTCCCACTCAAATCATAGTCAATATGAAGGTTTCCCGAAATGGGGGTACCCCCAGCCATCATCCATTTTATGTTCGGATTTTCCAGTTTAACCATCCAGCTATTGGGGTACCCCCATTTTAGGAAGACACCAATAAATTCATGGTCATATCCCATGGTCATAAGGTGCTACTTAAAACACAACTGGCCATATACAGCAACCTCCGACACTACAAGTTGGTTCACTGAAAAGAGTATTCACTATAAATAGTCCATATCATCATTATGAATTGGGGTTGCCCCTATGGTCATATCCCATCTCCCAGTGGTGAACTTCAGAGGCACAAGAACTGCTCTCGCGTTTGGAAGCTGAAGATTTCCTGCGGGAGTTGGAGACCGAAGAGGACGCGTAAAACAGTTGCCGGGAAGGTGACCCGAAAAAAAGGGACGCGGTGTGGGCGGGAAAACGCTGGATTCATAGGATATTCATGGGATATTCATGGGATATTCATGGGATATATATATATATAATATGGATAGTATTATGCAACATGTGGTAACAATGGGATATCATTGCATTCCGGGATATATGGTAGTAGGTATCCATTCATGGAAATGATAAGTCATAATAATTATATTGGCTGTGTGGGGGGGATGATTGAGATAGGAGATCCCCCAAGTCACGATGGGTTGTAATACTAGAATGGTCTAATGACTTGGATGATTTGGGGTACCCCCATTTTACGAATCCCCCATACAAGTATCATAATTCTTCGTAATATACATATATATATATATATTTGTATATAGTCAACTGAAACAGTTCTATATGTGGTAAAGCCAATGATGAAACTCTTCTTGGAATAGTTTTTGGTATCTTCCAAGTGATTAAGTGGGATGGTTTGTTCTCGGGATTACCACATTCGTCTCAATAGCTGATGGACATTTTAAGGTGAACCAATTTGTCGTGTACTGTATATAGCCTTGTTGATGGAAAACAATGGATTTTACGATGTATTTGGAAAGAACAAACTGTCACAGAACCCACGATGAGATTGGGACAACTAATTCTAGGGAGTCAACTTACTCCAGCCATTGATCAGTTGTTCTGGACATCTAGATCGCAGGGACCTCATGATTATCTAATTTCCATTGTCAAAAGATCTTACAGATGAGTTTTGATTCATTATGAATCTCCAAACGTGAGGTTCCAATTTGATACCTCAGTTTATTTTATGGATACTGTAAGTTAAATTACTAATCACTATGAATGGTGTTCTTCAGATTTCAAAATCCCAACTATTCTTGTGACCGTGTTCCTAAGGTTGCGACCGCAGAGTTGTGACTGACGAGTGACTAAGGGTTGGCTCCATGTATCATCCACTTTGTCGTTAGGCACTTAAATTTACCACTTATTGTTACGGTTGTTTCTTGATTCCACTATATATATATACAGAATTAAATTATATATGCTAAGCACATCTTTATTGACCACTACGTCCGCCCAATTTTTGGGTCAAAACATCTTCCAAAGCAGATTCCAGGAGCGCGCCAAACGCGCGGCAGGCGACGGCCCGTTGTTTCAGAACCTGGCACTGGCAGCAGGGATAACCAAGAAAGATAGAAGGTACAGTAGTGTGTACAATGTGGTACCCCCCCAGTTATAAGTTAGTTTATAACCCCCATCAACTATAGATATATCTACCATAAGTCCCACTTATTGTAGTTAAAAACCAACTTAGCTATCTAAGGGGCACCACTATGTAAATCTATTAGCATGTGTTTGCATTGGGAGAATAATGCATTATAATTATGTTTTAATTGATACATATTGATACTAGTAATATACAGTAATCCCCAAGAACAAAACATGGACGATGAACTCATCGGGATGATTGATGAAATTGGGTGTAACCATGGATTGAGCCATGTAGTCAACTGGATATGGATCAAGCCACCAATCATGTTGCGGCGTGTCTGAAAATGAATATATACACCTTCTGAAACTGTGAAAATTATATTTTAACACCTAGACAACTTCAAGAGCAAATAACAAACATAGACGGTCATAGACAAAGATGAATAACTATTATTTTGGAATATTTTGGGTGCCCTATTGTCAGCAAACCCCAACTGAAAACCTGTTGAATGGTTTTTGACCCATCCAAACCTGCAGACCGCGAGAGCTTGCCACCTGAACAGGCAAAAAGAAAGCCAAGAAGGCGCGCGCACGAGCGAATCTTGGCGATCTGCTTTTGGATGTTGCCAGTCAGTATTTGGGAGAGGTTCCAGTTACTAAGGTCTGAGGTTGGTAAAACGTTAACCCTTTTTGATTTGGGCGAAAAACAGATGGCACTCAGTTGCTACAGTGATTAGGGCGATGTTCAAGAGCTGGGAAAACCTTGTTTGAGTGGTTTTTTTTTCCAGATATCAGTGGAAGCATGGGCACCTTGAAATTCTGGAGCACGTCCATGGCTGTTGGGTTTGTGATTGGGCCTGAAATTTGGCATCTTGGCCGCCTTGGCCCATTCATTTGCATCATTTATCAACAACTCCCTTTCTGTTCCTACCAGTTTTGTTCACAAACATATCTCTATATAGTCGCTTGATCTTCGGAGATCACTGTTTTGAGACCACCCATGGCCGATAGCATAGTGTTTGACTATATCAATATATCAATATCAATATGATGATGATCTCATTTATATATACCACATCAATACATAGTTCTACCATGTTATACCACATCTATACCATATATATATATATATCCTATCGTATCCCGGCTTCACCATGAGAGTTGGAGCCTTGTTCCGAGGAAGGACAAGAAAGCGGAGCCAGAGAAAACTGCTCCCGTGGAGGCGAAGGGGGTCTTGCCAACACATTTGGGCGAAGTGGCTTCAAGTGGCTTCAACAGAACTCAACAAACATGAGGGGTTCATCAACATGCTGCTTGATATCGCTTCAACCAAGGCTTCAACCATTTAGTGTTGCCCACGATGGAGCTTTCACCCAAAAATGAATGCCGATCCAACTTGACTGTGTGTTTTGAAGTTCGAATGTCTCACACACCAACTCAGAACGTTTGCTGGTGAGAAAACTAGATAGAACACATCCTCAGGCACACAGGTACTAATGTGTATGTTTGCTAATCGTTTGAAGATCAATCTGGGAGTATTGACACCCGGATGCACGATTAATGAATATTAACAAAAACTTAGTATTCTTGTTTGTTGACACAAATCTGGGTATCAACATGGGAATATCACCAGAGAGTCAACTTTCATGGTCAGCTCTATTGATGAATCATGTCCGCAGTTCCTTTGGTGAATGTTCAAAAAACCACAACTCTAAACAGTCTAAACATGAGTCATGTTTGGGTCGGCCCCGGCCGGACAAATCATGACATTTCGCTACCATCCCCAGGGCCCCAGGGTGCTGAAAAAGGCGGCCAAGGGGGCCACAAAATCAGGTGACATCTCACTATCACCTTGTGTGTCAAATGATGTATTTCAGCTTCAACATGTGATTGCTGTTTAATTATGTTTAATTGATTATTACTTATGTTATCTGGTCGTATCGTCTTGTGCACCACGTTTTCCTTTCGGTTTATCTAAACTTAAATTGTCTCAGTTCCCCATTGACTGGTTGAAGTCAAACCTCACATTAGCGCTGCTTACCCTTACTGTAGCCCTTTGTTTTATTGCGTGAATCCCTACTCAATGCTAAGAGCCCTTGTTGAAGAAACTGTCAATGTATAACGCAAATTCCATTCAAGATATGGGATATGGTTTGCCCAGCTGCGTTTGATTCCGGAGGGGGAAATCGCCATGAACTTTCATTATTATGAGTTCGGCCCATATTTTAATTCACAAATTGATAAATCCTTTATTCATTTGTTTCTACATTCTTAAATGCATATGTGTTTGATATGATCCCCATGTTGAGTGGTTGAATCATCTTGGATCCCAATTTCTACTGCTTTCTTCGGTTGAAAACGTTCCAGGCCTTCAGCAGCCCGCCAGCGCCGCAACCCTTGGAGGAAGTGTCCAGTGAATCGGAGGCCGGCGTCCATGTTTACCCATCATTTTTTTGGCAGCCCTATCTGCGATGGCTTCAACATCATTGAACCATATTGAAAAAAAAACAGTTGGATGATGTTAGATGGTTTTTGTACTCGAAATGACCGCACGTGTGATAAATGATATAAATGTGGGTCCATTACTCCTATTCCTATCTATTACTCTTGTGTTTGGCCAAAAAGCCATCCATTGTTGCAGGTGGAGGAGAAGATCACGGCGCTGGAAGACAAGAATTCCAGCCCCTCGTCCGTGGAGGACTATCCTGTTCTCACTTTGGGGTAAATCAATGTAAATCATAGCCCGATGGTTAGTCTTTGGTATCCTTTTTCTCCATGCGCTCTCGTCTTTCTCATCCCCCTGTGCGGATCAAGACCCAATGGGGGCGTCTTGAACACTCAGCTTTCCTGGATTCAACCCCCATGGTAAGTTTAGTTCCTGAAATCCCGATGGACACCCGATGGACAAGAAATTTTCGGTTGGTCAGGGGAAAATATCATGCTTTGTGTACACTTATAATGTATCTTAATCTAACTTGCAGTGCTCAGAAGATATACCTACATATATATATATATATATCCTAGACCTTCCTTTGGTACAGAAAAATGTGCTCAATCCAAGATTTGGTACGCAAAAAATGCAAACGAGCACAAAAAAAATATAACCATAAAATCGAGCACATTTTTTTTTTGGCACATGATTTTTCATATGTTACTTGATTTGTTCCTTTGGGATCGTTTTGGTGTTGAAAGCACTGTGTGAGACATGTTGGGTGTATAATTCATATGCATTTGCCCGTTCCCATTAGCGTTTGCTTGGCAAGAGTACGGGGGCGACCGTGGTAACCTACCATGGCAGAAGGAGCTCTGGTGAACTGTGCACATTGCATCTTGGTGGCCATATGTTCACCTCAAATGGGCCATGTGACAGGAGTCAAATGGGGGGTTGTGGCCCCAGAAGATGTTAAGCATGGCCTGCGCAACATCTTTTTTCAGAAGGTCAGCTGCACGGTTCATGCATGGAAATGCCATACATGGGTTCAGGCCCTATTTGATCTTGGAGTGCCCCTAATTTTGTCTTATGCATCCATGTCTTAGATGTTTTCAAGATAAAAGATCATGCATGCTGCATTCATGTTTCATGCATGCTGCATTCATGTCACATGCATGCTGCATTCATGCCACATGCATGCATTGTGTTTCAGCGAAGGTTTGCCGCCAAACTCGGTGCCTCACATATTTTTTATGAAACCGGCTCAAGATTTGCAGACATGGCGCACTTTGAGCAGGCGGCTTTACTCGCCACTGCTTGGGCGAACGATGAAAAGATCCAAGCAATGGCCCTTAGGCATGCCATAGTGGAGGTCTCCAAGCACAAGAAACTCAAACGAAGTAGGATCCTGAGTGAGATACTAGCTAGCAAAGCATATAACTATATTTAGATCATGCATGTGAAGTGATGCAATCCCCGGCCAGGTGATGTGAAGAAGAATGCCGCGGTCATAGGTATGGCCATCAAACACTGTGGACTTCGCCCCTCACTCCCGATGTTTGAGCAAGCTGCATCGCAGTTTTTTGCGTTGACACTGCCGAGAGGGATGGATGTATGTAGCCACTGTGACGCAATGTTTCAGTAGTCATGCATGGTTGCAGTAGTCATGCATGGTTGCAGTAGTCATGCATGGTTGCAGTAGTCATGCATGGGGCACAGCATGCATGATCAGATTTGGATTGTGAGGCACGAGGACGAAGATGCACGCAAAAATTGCGATGAGACTGGTGTACGCATTCTCTCGCATAGCCAAGTGGTTTGTTTGCAATGGACATCATGCAGGATGTGATCATGCATAAATGGTATAGTTTCCATTCATCCCGAGGCGGCCTCATCGACCAAGATGTCCTGAAATCCGGAAGATCTATGCACTTGCCAATCTTCCTTTGCCAGGATTGGTTATTAAGAACATGTGACTTTGGGGGTCTTGGGCCATTGGCTTTGTTAGGACCAGATTCTGAGTCAGATGTGGACACTTCCAGCTCGACTAGCTGCAGTTTGTCGGACAGCGACTCTTGACTGCAACAATGGTCAGTACTTCATGCATGATGATGGTGACCATGAGTTTCAAGTACATGCATGCATGCCTGCCTAGGTCTAAGTTTCAATACGACAAACGAAAACCTTCAACTTCAACATGTGCAGGAGGATGAAACTTTGGTTGGCAGTGCTTCAGCCTCCACGGGGTCAGAGCAAATGCCCTCTGTGGTTTCTACTCAGAGTGCTGCTGTTGGATGTGTTGAACCTATGAAGGGTTCAAAGGACCCGATGGCATTGGCAAGGAAGATGCAGATAAAGTCACAAGACCTTCGCTCCACTACATCTGAAGCCAGCTCGGTAGACACCAGCCCCCTGCATGCATGATTGATAGATGGAAACCATCACTGTCATAACAGTCGTATCGTATATGTTAACATGTCCGTATTCAATTTGCGTCTGAGGCTGCACTCATGTGACGCCACCTCCCAAACCTGCAGGCCCATAATTCCTTGATACATGTTTGACTTACCTTCCATGACTGAGCCATCATGCATCCATATGCTAGGGGCTCATGTTGCGAAGATGACGCCTGAGAAGACCAGCAACCCGGACAGTGACAAATGTGCCTTGACCATCAACATTTCATGGTATGCGTGAGTATGTGAGCCACATGCATGGAGTAGTTCATACGATCGAATGGTTGGGGTGTTCATGTTTTTGTCATGTACCATTGAAAGGTCGGAAGCTCCTTCTGTTGGAGCTGGAGGAAGTTGAGCTTTTGCTTCAACTTCAGTTGTCCAGAGCACAGCGGGCTCGTGCAGCTACCACGATTGAGAAGTTCCATCCCATGCCACGGCCACCAGCTGTCAGTGCAGCCCTCAAGACATGCATATGCCATTGTTTTTGCATTGCATGCCATTAGTCAGTGCAGGACAAAAATGGATTGACTCTTCTTCAGGTATGGACAACCTTGAGACCCAACCCATGGATGAGACCCAGATGATGGGTCACAACCTTGAGACCCAACCCATGGATGAGACCCAGATGATGGATGAATCTTTTTCCTCCAAGTTTCAGCCGTGTGCTTTGAGCAAAGCTCAGACATCTTTCAAAGATGAATGTGTGCCAGGCATCGTGGGTGAACACAATGGATCAATGACTTTCGATGAAGAGCCCTTGGGGAGATATCCTTTGTGCTCACCGTTTGACTCTGACCAATACATGATCAACAGTGATGGTTATGCATTGATGGCTCCCTTGTCTCCACCACAGGAACTTGAGGTGGATGCCAATGATGGTTTGCAAGATCCCCTGTCTCCACCACAGGAATCTGAGGGAGTTGCCAGTTTGGAGTCTCCTTTGTCTCCATCACTGGAGCCTGAAGGAGATATCATGAACGATGAGGAAGGCCTAGTGCCTTTGGACGAAGCTGATCTGTGTCCACCATGCAGCGATGTGAAAGCAGTGCCAGTGGAGCATCCTCCTCTTGAAGAGGTTGCTCAATTATATTATATCGTTTTTTGCTTGACATGCATGCAGGGTTATGGTATTTTTTGTTTGACATGCATGGAGGGTTTTGAGATTTGACCACTTGGATCCATGCATACATCATGCACGCATGAATTTGAAATTCATTCTGGCCACAGGTTGTGCCGATTCCCCCAGAGTGCCAGAAGTGGTTGGATGCTGGTCTTGGGTTACCGCCTCCCGAGCGTCCTGGGCGCAAGCCCCGTGGAAAGGCAAAGGCCAAAGCAAAGGCCAAAGCAAAGGCACGTGGCAGACCCAAGGCGAAACCAGGCCCCAAGGCCAAGTCGAAAGCGAAAGCCAAGGCCAAACCCCGAGCTCGGGCTGCTTCGTCAAAGGCCTGTCCGAAGCCCAAGGCTAAGAGTAAGGCCCGAGTTCGAGGACAATATGCTTCAGAGGAATCGAAGAGAAGTTCGGCTTACCACAAAGCCAGGAGACAGGCTAAGAACCAAGGCTTAGGGGATGATGCAGCGAAAGACTTGGCACGCAGAAGTTTCTTGGTTTCAGTAATGCATGTACTTGTGCACATGTAGGCAAGCTATGTGCAACATTGCACGCATGCATTATTGAATTGACAGGCTATGGCGGGGCCTGAACTTTGACCTTTGGCTCGTTGCAGCCATGAGGGGTGCAACTTCAGTCGTATAGGTTTCCCTGTATGACAGGTTGCTTTTCTTTAGCTAGGGGTTCATCACATGCATCAATTGTGCATGTGTGACGCACCAGTGTGGGTGCACATATCCATGGCCAGTTCGGATGAAGCGTGAGAACACGCTTGGATGTGGAAGGTCGTCGATGAGCGATGGTCAAAAACTGTGATGCACATGCATTTCTGCAGCTTTTCATGTTCATGCATGCATGTGGCCTTGAGGGTTCCAATTCATTCATTCATACCCATGCATGCATGGCAACATGTGATCGTTGAGTTGAATTCAACCATGATCACTCCATGCACGTTGCAATGCATGGCCTTATTTTTCATGCATGAGTAGGATGGTGGCTCAAAATTTTACATGCATATGGATTTTTGGTGGGCATAGCATTGTTGAAGGTACATGGCTCCTTGACTCGGACATTGCCTTGAGCTTTGTGCCCTGGGGTTCTCAGCTTCAGTCAGTTTTGTTAATGATCGATGAGTACTTGTACTTGTGCAACTTTACTCTTGTGGCATGCATGATGCGAACTGCTGCGAGATCCCCGCAGATTTTTAAGAATCATGGCGGCGCCCCGGAAAAAATGTAGAATAGAGATTGATCAGGTGGGGGGCCAATGTGCAATGGAGTACAACGTAGTGTTTGCTGGATAGTTTTGCAAAGAAACACCATGCAGGAAGCAGCGGCAAGGGCGGCCATAGCTCCACCTATACACCTTTCACCGGCCAAGACCTCAGCATGTATGCACTTGATATGAAACAAAATAAGTACATATACATATATATATAGTTTTCCTTTTGCCTCTTTTCAGGATGACCCAGAAAACTGGGAAGCTGTCCTGAGAAGACTTGGAGTGTCCACCTTAGCTTCCATGCATGCGGGAGTGCGCGCACCTATGACATTGCCCGTTGCTGCCTGTTGAAGCCAGGTTGAAGACCATGTTATTGCAGAAATGTCCCAGGAGAAAATGTTTAAGTTGTGGCAACATGTCGATTTCAATTTAGATGATCGATGGCTCAATCATCTGTTGGAAGGATCCAAACCTTGCGTCGGTGATGCATGATTTGGCAAAGTCCATCCCTCTTCAGGATGGGGATTCACAGACTGCCTCCAGAGACAGACTTGATAATGCTGACTTCATTCATGATCATGCATGAAATCTACTTCATGGCATGCATGAATCATATATAGTTGCAGGAATCGTGTGGTAGCCGGATGACTTGACAACTTCCGTTGGAAGACAGGCATTCATGCAGCTCATGCATCTTGACCATATCTTTCATGTAGGGTCTCAGTTCACGATGGTGGGGATTTGTGGGGGTATTGTTTACGACATGCATGCATCCATGCAGGCCACCAAATCTTGATGGCGAAGGTCCATCATCAAGTGCGGAGGCAGCATGGCGCAAGCCTGTGCCCTTTGTCGAGATTGAGCCCACCTCCAAGAAACAGGTTCAAGTGATGCAGTCATTCCCCAAGGCCGCGCCGAAAGACCAGGGGTCAGTGCCGCCAAAGACTGTTTTCACCCATGGTCCCAAGCCACCTCCAGGACCACCACCAAAGAAGTCCAACACTGTTGGATCTGACCTTTTCGAACCATGGGGGAAGGTTCCTCACAAAGCAAGACCTTTGCACACGCCAAAGAGAGTTCCCCCGGCCCCTCCACCGAAACCAGCCCAGCTACCAAAGCCTTGGTGGCCACCTCGGCCTCCACCGCCAGTGAAGACCGAAGGCCGGATTGAAATTGTCAGATTTGATTGAAAGTTGTGTTTGAAATGTAGCTGTAAACTTCATTCATGCAGGCAAGAAGGAATGGAAAAAGCGTGAGTGGGGCCATGCTTGAGGCCCTTGTATATACAAACTCTAGGTGTGGCCTCTGTGTCTGCCAAGTGCTGAGTGGAGCATACAGGAAGTGGCAAAATCGATCTTAGCCTTATTCATGCATGTTGCATTGCTTATGTGTAGCACTAGATTGTTTTCGTTTGATACAAGCTATTCATGGATCAATTGCATGCATGATGATTATGGAGTTTAATTTTCCATCAGGTATGCCATCATGAGCTGGCTAGTGGATGCTATGGCGGAAGGTCGGTTTGCCCCCTTTGCCTTGCAATGTTGTTGCCACTCGCACTTGTTGACACAGGTTCATCTTCAGTGGATACTGCAGTAATGCCCACGCATGCATTCATGCATACATGCATGCAGTTGCTGGTTTGGTGGAAGTGCAATATGCACGTAGCACTTGCAGTTTGAAATCCAGCATTCAACCGGTGGCCCCACGGCTAGAGCCATGCCCTTTTGGGAACGTGGATCCGCAGTGACCTCCCTCATGCACTGTGGTGCTCCGAAGGCCACGGCTAGCTGCCCTTGACATGGATACATGCATGCATGGTAATTGTTGACATGTCACATATGCAATACCCGCTCACGCATGATAAAATTCACTCATGCATCCGTGTGGGTTTCTTTCATGCATAATTTTCGCAGGTGCTGATTGGAGTGGCCATTGTCTCAATGGATGTTGCCATGTGTGGGATGTCATAGTCAAGTCAACTCTTAAAATGATTTTGGAAATTGCCTGTGCACCTGAGGTACTTTGTATGCTTTGGAATGAAGACCTGGCATGGCACCAGGCAGAATTCCAATTTGTGGAGATCTTTAGTGGCCGCGCCAATGTCAGCCGAGAATGGTCTCCTCCTCACTGGGTGTGTTTCATGTGGGCAATGATATGCTGATATAGTTTTTTCGATGCATGTATTGGTTTTGATATGACCATGCATGATACAAGGAAGAGCAGAGGCTTCAATGTTGCCTCTTATGACATCCTCTACGGGCAAAGTCGCGGGAAAGCTGCGGCTATGGACTTCACATCCTCGCCAGGATTTGTGCCTGAACCCCAGTGCTGGTCTGTTGCTTAATGATGGAAGGTTTACATGGATGATCTCCGAGGTTGGCTCTGTTCTCCTGCTTGATGTTGGCTCCAGGAGCCATGGCTTTGATCGCCCCAGACTGTGCTAGCTTTGGCGCCCCAAACTTGGGGACCACTTTGAGGTCGCTGTTAAACAATTCGATGGGCTTCACCAGCCGACCGAATGTATTGGTTGGTAATTTGCTGGCCAGCAGGTGGCCTGATTGCAGTTTTGTAACTTCTGAAGATGGTTGAATCTTTTAACTTTGATGATGGATCAATCCAGCCATACATGAATGTTTCGACGAACTTAGGCTGGTTCTTTTGTGCATTGTCGTGGTGGCAGCCCATGGCATTTACGTGGTGGAACAGCCTCGGCAAACGCACCTGTTTGGGAACTTCAGGTGGCAGTGGTTCCAGGAAAAGATATGTTACGTTGCTTGTCAGAGTTATCATGCATGCATGTGCAGTCCACTCATATTCATATATGGACCCCGCGTAATCTAAAAACGAAGAAGCTCTGTCAGGTCTATGCAGCTACTTGGTGGATGATGCACTATGACCACCCCACGCCAAAGCGTCAACAAGCAAGGTCAAATTGGAAGGGAGTAAGGGGGCTGGATCTGGGCTCTATCCCAGCTGCTGTGATGAGAGAAAAGACGCAGTTTCAAAGCACACGTGTGGTCCCAAGCAATTGTGTTGGAAGAAAAGTTCATGCATGAATATTTTGTACATGTACATGCGCAAAGATTTTTTTTGCCATGCATCATCTTCATGATAGCTCAAGCATGAGGCCGGGATGGCAAGAAATGGAATGGGTCAAAACGCCTGAAAGAAACTGGGCGTCTCGATCGCAGAGTGTAAATCATCATTCATGTGAAGTGAAAGTATGTTGATGTCTCGGCTGGATGTGCATGAACCTTGATTGAGGGTATATACTCGGAAGTTTGGCCGTAAGCTCCTTGACCTTTGGAAAGAAGAGGATGCACCAGAGTTCTGTCTCAGGAGCATGTTGATTTGGGGAACCCCTGTTTTGAATGATTTGGTGGATTTTCCAATCACGCTGTCAGCTGCAGGAAGAAGCATGAGGCCAATGCCAAGTTCTCCGACAAGGAACTGTTCACTAGACTCGACATGAAAGACCCTTGGGTTGATGCTGACATGATAAATGTTTTTACATATATGCTGGATCATCCCCGAACGAAAGTGCCTGACTCGTGGCAAACAACCATGAAGGCTTTCCGGGATGAACTGATGCAAACTTGTGCAGACCCTTCGCTGGTGGAGGCTTACAATTCGATGGTTTGTCGGTAATTAGAAACATCATGCCTTGGAGTTCCTGGATGTTGCAAGCTTGCAACTTTTGCGCGCGAAAACGAAAAAAGTGTGCAACAGTGGTCGCGCGAAACGGGCGCAAAATTCCGCGAAACGGGCGCAAAATTCCGCAAACGAGCGCCAAAAAAAAACTTGCTCAATTGGATGTCTTGTTATTGAAACTTTTTGACTTCCTTTGACAGCTTGGTTTTGCATGCATGTGGGTTTGTTCACAGACAGTCCAACATTGCATTCATGATATATATGGTGATCATCATGCATGAGCTGCATGCATGAACCATCATGAACTCCATGCATGGAAACGGATGACATTCATGATTCATGGTGCTGCAGCACTTTTGGTTTTTAGCCCTTTTGTTCGTGTGTGTTTTTTGGGCATTGCCCTTAGTGTATGAGTCGCAAGACTCTTCTTGCCGGCACTGCCATGCTTCGCATGGATACAGACAAGTCTGATGCAACATTGGACGCTGAGATAGAGGACTGATTATGGCCATATGGAAGGCTGAATCTCTCTGAATGAGTTTTGCTGCCCTTTTTCAGGAGCGCTTGGCACGCATCAGGGAGCTTAAGGCAAACCTGTTGAGTGAACCAAGCACGCGTGTGGAGAACACTTTTCTAGCAGAAGCTGTTCCTGGTGAGGAGCTGAGTGTTTGCTACATGATCAAAAGTATTCTTGGACATGCATGGTTTGCATCTGACTCAGCATCCCCCATTTATGGGAATTAGATATATGATCTGTTGGACCAAGGTGATAGGTTCTACGCAAGTTCTGATGGGGATGGTGAACATGCACCCGGTAGTGTGCAGGCGGAGGGCGATACTGCATGTTTTACTGATATGCATGTAAGAATATTTGATTTCGGAAGTTCGCAGGTGTCACTGGGGAGAGCTGGCCTACCGCAGGCTGTCTGTGAGTGGAGAACTGATCAACTTCTGATTTGCTGACATGCATGTTTGACAGCATGAATGACAGTCCCTCCATGGGAGGTGCTGCCAGCATCTCCAGCAGATCAGGAGGGGAACCATGTGCTGGGATGTATGCCATCCACATTTCATGCATGTACCTTCACTACATGCGCAAATGCGTTTTTAGATTCCATGCATGGTGATTGCAAGGCTACTGTGCCAGCCATCGAAGTCAGTGCTCCTGACGTTGCCATGCATGCTGCGAGTCCTACACCTGCTCAGTGTGCTTTAGGAATGAAAGGACTCACATGCATGCCTGAGTAAGTAATTCCTTGGTGCAAGGATGACTGTTGTTAGTGAACCTACATTGTTCTTCTGACAATACATATATGATTATTAGATATCCTTGAGCCAGGACATGATGTGGCCACTCCTGCCGGTGATGTGGAAACTCCAGGGGAAACCATTCCAGGGGACCTTGCTTCCCCGCCGCCACCCACTCCTATGTCACCTCCAGTCGTTCGAGTTTTGGAGCCAGAGTTTGGTGGTGCGACAGAAACCCCTGTTGCTGAGACTCAGCTGGATAGCCCTGACCCAGGAAACTGCGAGAACCATGGCCTTGGCCACGCTGTGCCGGCTGTAGCTGAGAAGCCGGCTCCCACTCCTTCTACCCGTGTCCATGACCTCTTGAAAGCCAGCAAGGCGAAGAAGGAGACTTCAGCATCTGCTCTGCACCAAGCCATTTTGGCTTTGGGCCCCCCGGGCCAGCTGACAAAGGAGCAGCTCGCTGCAGAGCTTCTGAGCTTGCATGAGCAAATGCATGGCAATGAGAGCTGTGGCGCACATGAGGCTGCTGGGGACAAGGCAGTTGGGAAACCCTTGGAGGAAACACCTGAGAAAATTTTGCAGACTCCCCTTCCAAAGTCAATGCCGCCGCCCGCAAAGGTGCCGAACAAGGCTTTGTCCATAGCCTGCCCACCAGATACCCAAACAAGGGCTGCACCACAGGCAAAACTTGCAGTTGTGGAAGCAAAGCCTGCAGCACCGCTTGCAGTTGTGCAGGCCAAACCTGCTCCGCCTACAACAGCTCCAACAGCCGTTGCAGTACCTGCAGCACCTCTGACTGCTTGCGTGGTTGCTGAAGCAAAGGCTGCAACACCCCCAACGACCCTTGAAGCTGTGCAGGCCAAACCTGCTCCGCCTACAGCACCTCCAAAAGCAGCTGCAGTACCTGCAGCACCTCTGACTGCAGTTGCTGAAGCAAAGGCTGCATCACCTCCAACAGCCCTTGCAGCAAATGTGGGGTCAACAGGTACTCCAGGGCCTGGTGCAGTGGCAAATCCTGGTCCTACCACAGCACCTGCAGCAAAGGTTGCCCTTGCTCCATCTGTTGCCCCTGCTGAATCTACGGACCAGAGCGTGGAGCAAAAGTTGCTGGAGCTGAGGCCCCATGGGCCTATGGGAATGATCATGCATGGTAAGGGATACTTTTTGGACTGAGAACATATATAGTATACAAGCTTTGTTGTTTATGTTCAGGGAAGGGAAGAAGAAAGGAAGCTACGACAGAGTTGACCACCAGCCACTGGCCCAGATCAACTGCCCAGTTTTCAGCACATACAATATCCCCACACTGCACCATTGCTGGCCTCACTTCAGGATTCGTCGGCATGTGATGGCAGCCAACACGGACGAGCTTCTCCGCGCTTGGAAGGATACAACCCAACGTGCTGGGCTTAAATGATCGGCTTCCAGCTGGCAAAGAAATTCTACGCGTACTGCTAAACAGGTATGGCCACAATGTATGGGCAATCAGCTTGGTGGCTGGCTGGTAGCTGAGGTGCGAAGATGAAAGAAACCTTTCTCAAGACCGGTTCGCTCCAAGAGGTCGATATAGTTGTGCAGCGAATGTCGAATCAAAGTGTGAAGGACCAGGACACTGAAAAGCCAGTCACGAAGCTCATGCTGAAAGAAATCTACAAATGGGACGAGTGTTGTCCTCAAAACTTTGACATGCATGCATGCATGCATGCATGCATGAAGATTTCAGAGGTTCTTGCGTCATGTCACACCATGCATGTCATGCATATAGACTTGTGTGCAACTGAGTCAGATGATTGAGAATGGCTGGGCTTGGGCAGCTCAGCACGGGAAGCTGGAGAAAAACGTGGTCAATGGCGCTGAGTACGCTAACTTAGTAGTTGACCAAGTCAGACAGAAACTCAATGAGAGGTCCCAGAGTATGGTTGCGACGGCATCAGCCCAGATCGAGGCTGGGAATAGGAGTGCCGCCACAGATTGTATGTGCATATGTCTTGGTTGCAGGATACGAGTGGAAGCATCTTGGACGCCATGGACGTAAATGAGGGTGCACCCGGAGGCGGTGGTGGTGGAGGTGGGGAGAGGCAGCCTGCGCCAGCTGTAGCACCTCTTCCGTGTACGGGCTGCACTGGGTTGTCATAACACGCATGGACATGCATGCAACTTTTGAAGCATGGACTTGAAACTCCAGCTCAGGAAAGGCCCTGTGGAGCGCATTCCTTTTCCATGCCTGTCGCAGACAACTTCCCCATTTCAGCAATTGGGGCAGTTCCTGCTCCTGCTTGGCAAAAAGATCGACGCCGCCCAGAACCAAAAGGCCTGAGCGTCGGCCACTGCAATTTGCAGCCCAACATCATTGCTGTTTGCGCAGGAGCGCCTGCAGGCCCATGTGGCCTCTGACCACAAAGCACAAGAGTCCACGCCTCATTTAGTATAATTGTTACTTCAATTGAAAAAGTGGTTGCTGAGGCTTTCTGCAGGAATGGCTGAACCTTTGACAAAGCTGCGGAAGTTGAACGAAGAGTTGATCGACATGCAAGCAGCTGCCACTGCAGTGGCCCCCACCAAGCCACCCGACTGTATCTACAGTCACATACAAGCATGCATGGTGTAGTCAGGATCCTGTAGTGTAACTAGACATTCATGCAAGTGGCCATGTGCTCCCATGCGCAGGGAGGACAAAGACAAACTGGTGCAGAAGTACATCGAGATCACAAAGAACGACACCATAATGAACAACTGGGCATCCAGAGCCAGGCCTGGACTCAGACTGACACTGTGCGCAGGAACCAACAATGGAGATAGCGAGGAGTCTCAATCCAATTTTGAAAGTGAGGTCCTGGAAGCCACCTCTGACTGAAGAAGAGAAAGCAGCCCGCAAAGAAAAGACGAAGCGCAAAAAGGTGAAAAGCGAGGATGGAGATGATGAGTCGCAGAGGCTACTTTCTCATTTGCGCACTTGGAAGTGCAGATATGTTTCCCAACATATCCGGCTTGATGCTCATACATTTATCCGCAGCAGGAAGCAGAAGAAAGTAAAAAAAGCTAAGAAGGACGAGGAGAATGAACCCTGAGTTGAATGCAGGGAAGGCTTGGCAATGGCATTTGGCCATGGTGTGACTGCTGGCTTTTTAAAGTTTTGGCTGGGGTTGGATGATAAGTTTGGAAGCCGCTCGTGCTGGCCCTTGGGATTGAGACCGTGTGAACGCGCTGCCCTGCAGAGCAAAACATGGTGTGACCCCGCGCTTCCACGCATGAGAAACTGTGCTGCTCTGGAGCATGCATGTTGAAGGGTTGCAGGCATGCATGGAGGACAGGTGCATGGGTTGGCATATACTTTTCACTGCAGTCAGTGGCAACCCCTGTGCTCAACCCACGCAGGCATAGATCTTGTTTCTGAGTCTCATGGAGAGACTCCAGCCCAACCGCCAGGTGAAGATGAGCACTGTGCTTGTATGTGCTACAATGTGCTGGGCAGTTGAGATGGCCTGCCAGGTACATGTGCTCCTGAAAACAATGATGACCTCGAACAGCAGCTCATGGAAGAGCTTTTGGAACATTTTGAGACCGGTGTCCTTAGTCTGCATCTACACCTGAGCAGAGTTTCGTTGTACCTTTCCTAAAGGTTTTCACTTCATTGCAGTGAGTGCCTCCGCTGGGCCTGAGGCTGACAGTGCCCGGTCATGTGTCTCAGCATGCCGACTGACCAGTTATTTTCAGCAACACCCGTTTGCACGTTGGAACCTTATTAAAGCCACCTATGTACATTCCATGTGAGGTGCATGGCCAACCCTGACATGACTAAGGCCAGTCCATGATGCTGATGCAGATTGCATCTTGGAAAGACCCTGCGAACTGGTCCCGGAACCTCCACCGACTTATTCAGAGATTTGGATTGTCGTTGAATGTGGTGGTGAACAATGTTTTGTGCCCTTGCCTCTTTCGGAACAGGATTACACAGGTGCCGTGGCCAGTCCTTTTCCTGTCCAGCTGGCTGCCAATGGTCTTTGCCAAGACCGGTGGGGCCTTGTTGATGAACGGTTTCACGGTCGATCAAGATGACCATGAAAAAGCTCTTGCCAGTTTCTGGCAATTGTACCGTGCTGTTGATCCGAACCATGCAGTGTACACCATGCATCCCTCAAGGCTTGGTTCAGTCCTGCCACTCATGTACCATGGAGATGAAGGCAGAGGACGCTTGAAGAGAGCTGTGCTGGTCACGAGTTTCGTTTCTGCTCTTCCAGTTTCAGGCCACCCGTTTCTTTCACACCTTTTGTGCACAGTGTTTCCTGGTGAACGCTATGCAACTGGAGACGATGGAGTCGAGACTTTGGAAGCACTCCATGCTGCAGTGGCAAGAGATTTGAACGAGCTTCTCGAACATGGCTGGGAAGTGCTAGCCTCAACCTGCTTTATATGGCTTTGGTCAACATATGTATATACATGCATGCTTGGTTGCATGAGGTTGAAAAAAAAGACGGTTCCAAGAAGACAATGTTTGTCGGGATGGTCGGTGTTCGTGGAGACTGGCCATGGCAACGTCTTTCCCCTAGATGCATTCACAAAAAAAATGCTGTTTGCCTGCTTTTGCCATGGGCGCAAGCACTGAGGAAAATGCCACCTGTTGTTCACAGGGTTCACATCGGCCCGGGTATGCCACTTATGCAGTGGTGAGGCAGGCTGAATTCATGTGCACTGCATGTTGTCAATAGCTATACACCATGCATGTCCAACCCCTTTGAACTGCAGGAATGGTGGAGGGCCGATGCACAAGCACGATGGCGTGCAAACAGACCAGGAGCTGACCCAACTTACCGGCGATCTGCTATGAGCTCGGTGCCTGGTTGTGGGCCATTGGTTTGCCCCGACCAAGCCCACACGTGGCATTTGGGATTGGGGCAGGAACTATGTGCGTCAATCATTGCACTTGGGCAAGCATGTTTTGTTTTCATGTTTTTGCGCCGCAGCTGTCTGGCATGTGCAAAGCTACATGTTGCACATGCTGTGATCCAGCCAGGTATTGCTGGCTTGCAGATTCAATCTCTGGGATGGCAACAACATCCCTGACCGCTTGGAGGCTGCGTTTGCTGATTTTGACGCATGGCGACGGAGAATGCGAATCTCAAGCAGCATCACAGAGTTTGATTTGAAAAAGTCTTTCAAGTGCCAGTCGCTGCTTGGAAGCATGCATGGTAAGGCATTCATAGAAAGACATGCATAGATAGAGCAGCATAGATGGGATATGGGGACATGCATGAGAAAGCATTCATGACGTGGCATGCATGTGTGAGAGAGAGAGAGAAAGAGATATAATATAGTCTATATATTATATTTAGCAAGACATGCATGGGATAGCACCCAATGGAATGACATTCATGGGACAGCACTCAAAGAATGATATGCATGAAAAAGCAATCATGGAATGACATGCATGGGGAAGCATTCATGGGAGGACATGCATGGCACAGCTTCTTCCAGAATTTGATTTTCAAGTCTGGCGAACAGCACCTTTAGTGACTGAGGCTAGGGGATTGGCCGCGTTTTGGAGGTAAGGGCTATGACACAACAGCGCTTTGCAGATGGCTACATCATGTGGTTTTCACTAATCCGGACATGGACAGAGTATCTTGGAGCAATGGGCTCATACCGGGTTGACCACTCCCTTGAAGGCAACCTTTTGTGCTTGGATAAGCTGAGGTAGTGTCGACTGAAGCATTGGCTTTGCTTCGGTGGGTGATGGGTTCAGTGGATGTCTATTTTCGGGCAATCAATGTGAAGGGCCGGAGATGGATCCCAGTCACTGAAGCGCGTGGGTTGGTGTTGCGTTGCCATTACATAGTTGACTCTTGTCTATGCATGGATGCCTTTGGTCTTGAGTGATTGCCCCCATCTATGTGCATGTGATATGTTGGCCTTCAAGGAAGGGTACATCGCCCTTACAGCCTGGAGCATGGCCAGAGGCTGGGAATTGTTCAAGAGGAAGCCCAAGCTTCACGCCCAGGAGGAAATTGGGTGACTTGTTCGCATTATTGCATGCATGAGCTTGGAATACGATTATGTTGTCTATGTGTGACTAAGTCGCTGAAGATGATTTTGCCTAGAGTCTGCCAGGATGTGGATGCAAGATCAAATTGACCGGGGGGCTGATATGGTGATGTCACCTATGTGTTGCTTGGTAGGCAATTTGCCAAGAACGAAGCATGGACACCATTCATGTAGCCTGATGTCTTGCAACATCAGGCTTGGCCACATGGGTGGATGAGGCCTTTATAGGCCATGCCGGGAACTTACAAACATCCTGCTAGTGCCAGAGCATGCATGTCGTGCCATTTTTGGGGTAACCTAGGTGGCCCGGATGTCCCGGCGCTGTCATCCATTCTTGATTTGCATTCGCACAATGCGGCGAGCATTGATGCACTACCGCCGAAAATGGCAGGAAAAACATGGCAAAAGAAGAGTGAAAAAAACATGCGTGCAGTGGTGATGATCAACTTGTACATATGCTTGCCCATGCCTGCTAGGACTAAATTATCGATTCATCGTGCATCCCCATAGAAAGGCATGGAATCAACCATATATCAGAGGTTCTTGGACATGCATGTCTGTTATAAGCCATTATTGATATCATATGACCGTATATGACCATGTTTATACTAGACCTTCCTTGGCACAGAAAAATCTCGAGCACTTTTTTTTTTGGCCCCAGCAAACGAGCAGAAAAAAATGAAACGAGCAGAAATAAAGTGGTACACGTTTTTCTGTACCAAAGGAAGGTCTAGGATATATAATATACATATGGAGAACTGGAGAACTTGATAGAACTTGTATAATATATCAGAACAGCTTAGAAGATATTCAACATCACGATGCGTCTCGCGCTTTCCCCCAAGAGATTTTTTAAACGCCCGGCAGGACAGCACGGAAGTGCAGTCCCTGGATGACGACCGACTCTCCTCCGACTCGGAGCGCAGCTCATCGAAGAAGGCGTCGACGTTTGGTCTCAATGGCTATCTATATGGATGTGGGTCAAAATGGAAGACCTAGGACCTAGGGCACCACAAATGTGAATGTCTAGTTTAGTATTTAACCATCCAATTATGAAATAGGTACCTAATTTGACCCATACCCATATGTATCTACCAATGGGAGATTCTTGCCATTCTCAACGTATTAGTGTAGCAATTGGAAATTGGAACATATTATTGGAACAACATTACTACAATTGATTATATAGGATTATATAATCTATAATCTATAATGGAAACCATTAAAATCTATTAAACCTCAATATGGAACATACATTGAATAGAACACATTAATGGCACTTGGGGACGCCATGGAAATCCAAAGATGTTCCAAATAGCCTCCCACTAATGAATGTATATTTGATCATTTTTAATCATATGCATAAATATATATATATATATACATGTTCATGGAAAATCCAAAGTTGTAACGGGCACTACTGGTACAAAGGAGAATCCGATACTTTTTACTAAAACCAAGCCAGGCCTGGCCAAAAGTTTTGGAATCAAAAAATGGCTTGGGAAATCCCCCAACTATAGCGATTCATAGCTAGGAAAATCGTCTCTGAAATGGAACAAAGTGAATGATTCAACCGATTGCCACGGTTGAATGGCTCCGGCTTTGGCATTTTTAAGGAGTTTTTTTGGAGTTTTGGAGTTTCAGGTTTGTCAGTCTTTAAAACAGCAAAGGTTTGGTGCATAATCATGGATTTTGAGCCACTTTGACAGATAGAGGGTTTCAATGTTTCGGGCTTCAATGACGAAACAATGCAAAACTTGTGTGAATGTTTGTCGTTTGCGTACATTTTTGTTGACTTAGCGACATTTTCTTACAGTGAACCCCTCAACGTTTCACTCAAATTCCTTTGTGTTTTCCATTTAAGTAAATGATGTTAAAAAATCGCTTCGCAGCAAGCTTCATTTCTGAATTGGACACCTGGGAAGGTTTGGAAACACAATCTGAATGGTATTGTCATAGAATTGGATGATGGGAAAATTTTAACCGGAAAGCCCTATATTTGATGGTAAAAACCTGAGGTTTCCGGTTAAGATTTTCCCTCAAACCAATCCAGTGATATTGCAGTCTTCCGATCTTTTTGGCATTCTACTACCCGATATCATCACGCCTCAGACATGTTCCACGGTCTACCAGAGTTATCTCCCAATGGTCGTGCCAACATGTCCATGCCCGGTGCCCTGCTACTACAATATATCTGGTTTTAGCTGAATGTTCATCCACTCCATAGTGCCATATGTATATCATTGTATATCTTATATTCCATATCTCCATTTTTCTTGACTCTATCCCAATATATCCCAATATGTCACTTGTCCATGAATATGACGTCCATTCACTTTGGTTTTATGATATATCTCATGCAGATAGTCAATATCCCATGACATGCTCGCAGTATGTCCTCCATTTTGAGACAAAAGCGATAAGCTAAATCCCAAGTCTTGCGGATTCTGCGGATTGAATTACCATGTCTCACCAGGCAAATCTCCTTTTTTTCATGGTAAACATCCAATTGTTTGTTGGTTACACCTATGACATTCCCCGTTTTTTCCTGGGTGAATTGGTGAATTTCCCATGTTTTGATGCTTCAAATCCAACATGAACAACTGTCAGCCAGGGTAGCGGTGCCTCGCCGCCCTGCACACCGTTGGGAGCGCCAGAAGATGTCATGGTGATTGATCTATTTGAAAGTGATATGCAACGTCATTGATAGTGATATTCCGAATATTCCTGTTGCTGTATATTTATCTATATAATTATTTATTAGTATTGGTCATTATTTATCTATATAGTTTGTATTTGATATTTTAATTTTACATATATACATATGTTGTTATTAATACATGTGTACTCCACTTGAGAAGTTGGTGAATGGGTAGAGGGATATACTTTCTATTGGTAGTTGATGGATCTCTAGATAAGTAGTTCTTCATCGCACCTTTACAATTATACTGATTTTGATTGGACAAGAAATCTAGTATATATGGTATGTATTATATAATTATTAATCATGACTTGAAAAAAGGAGTCGCAGTGGATATATATATATAGCATGGGATATCACCTCAAGCTTTGCTGAATAAGACCAAGATAACATGGAAATGGCTATATATATATATACGTATATCATATATTTGTTGGCCGGTTGTTTGTTCACATAGTGGGAATGCAGACCAATGTCTAAAGTACAAAACATGAGTTAGTTGTTTTTTGCACATGTCGTTTCAGAGAAAAAACACATCCTCGTTGAATTTCCATGTGTTTGGGTCTCAAACTGTCCATGCAGTTGTTCAATCTAATTCAATCCCCCGAAAAAAGATTGCCAAAACATAGTGCCAATGGTTGTGAGGTTCTGACTACTGGGATCCATTTGGGTTTGTCTGAAACTTTGGTACCCCAAAATCTCGAGGTTTCGATCATCATAATCTTTGTTATATCATATCTCCCAAGTTTATCCCGAAAAACATCCCAAGTATACTGGTTCTTCGGGGTCTAGGTAATAGATGGTAATAGATGATGGTAACGAGTCACGAGTGTTATCTCCTTTATAAATTCGTCAAATCCCGTGTTTTAAAGTGTCCGATTGCCCACCGTTGTCGAATCCTTGTGAAAACATCACTGGCGATACAGTGAAAATAAACAGGGATGGATCAAGTTACCTATGAAATACCATATTTGGGGTTTTATTCACATCCATAAATACCCATAAATCCGAGGATTTATGCTAAATTTACACGGAGTAAATCCATATTAAGCCATAAATAAATATATATATATATATATGTATATATATATAATTAATATGGATCACATATTATATATAGTTAATTAATGTTAATTACAAATAATTATTATAATACATCAATAAATACATTTAATATATATATATAATATGTATCATATATATTATAATTACATATAATTACTGTACATCAATTATATCATAGCAATCCAAGTGACCAAGGCCGGAGCCCTCCAGCTGGAGCCATGACAGCCATGGCAGCCAGCGGCTTCGCTCCTGGGCGGATGTGCAGGATCCGCGGCTGATGCCATGGCTGGTTAATACTGGTTAGTATTGGTTAATACTACTGGTTAGTATCTATCATTATGGGATAATTGGTTAATAATCCCAATTTTCACTATTTGTTAATATCCCATGATTATCCCAATTAATGATAGATATTCACCAATTCATGTGGGAAAAACCATGTCATAAACCAGCCACTGGGAATGGTAAAATGGCTAGCACCAGAAATGGTGATGACTGGGGGATGGTTTATGGCATTGTTTTACCCACATTAGCCTAAACTGTCCCATAGATGTGGAACAAAATGGGGAAATGATCTAGGAAAATTATCTACTTAAATGGTGAGAATCAATTCTATGGGAGAGTTTACCCTACTGATCACTAGCATAGAGATTTGGAGGATGAAATTTCGACCAGCGATCAGCAAACAATGTATATTAAGGTAAACCAAGGACTGCAGTGGCTATTTCGACTATTTGCTGTCCCGTTTCATGGGGATGGTAGCCAGCTAAAATGTCTCGTGAGAAAGAACAATGGAAGGGTATCCCGGAAAATGGGGATGTAACGATTTAATATCCAAATCGGTGGAACCGAGCCAACCAAACAGACTGATTCATACGACAAAAACATAAAAAAGTAAACTCAAGTGCTGGTTTCCACAAACAGAACTGGGGATGAAACCAAGCAAGCGAACAGGCACAGAGACCTGGCACCATCATTTAGTGATTTTCTCAAGCCCCAATCCTGGGACCCCCAATAATGGAAACCAATTTCCACAGGTGCTGGTTCAAGGAATCTAGGTCAGAACAAATCAGACCTTTCATGTCCTACTGTATCTTTCATATCCATAGTCATCGAGTAAGCAGATCGTTCACTACCATTCCACACTTCATTGCTAAATTCAGAAAACCCCAACAGATTGTGCCGCGCTTACAGTAAATCACATCAGTTGCATATCAAGGAGAAGTTAACTATTTACTATTTGAGCAAAACATGATCTATATTACAGTATATAGTACAATTACTAGTTTGATGATACAATTGATCTAGTTTGGGCCTGGCCCTCACACACTTGCGGAGGGCAGGGTGAAGGCCCCAAAAAGGCACAAACCTGTACATGTTTGGAAGTTATGTCCTTTTGCTTTGGTTGGTTTCAGTGCGGCATTGCTCAACCTTATCAACCCAACTACAGTTAATTTACAAAAAAAAAGTAAAGTTCTGCTTAAACAACCATCAATCTAAACCAGACACCCAGAATCTCCAACCACAGTATGGGTTTGTATAAAACTAGGGGGCTCCAAATCCTTATAATTATAGTTTATCATAATTTTCTTGATCAAAATGACAATTGTGGGGTTTGCCCCATTTTCGGATACACCAGACCCATATACCGGCAAATACAACACAAATTCTGAAATACAGATACAAACCACAAACCTATGTTGTTCAATTCCCCGCAAAGTAAACCACACATATATCATATAATATCATATATACATATATAATTACCAAGTTAGTGAGGAATCACAATTAATTTACAGTTACCATACACTATATTCACGGCACTTGGCTACTATACCCATGCTAATTATTTTAATATCGCCACAGTATAACAACAGTAAACCATATTATACGATACTATACGTATATTCTCAGGCACTCAGTTGTTAACCACAATATGTCATATCAAAACATGCTGTGGATGTACACAATCCCGTACCAGTTGGTAGATGGTTTATTCCATGTTTTACTGGCAGTTGCCCACTTCTGGATTTTTGTCCGTCCATTGTATCGATAGTACACTCCTAAATACTGACCAACCAATGTGCTACTGTATGATATGGTTACAAGTATACGTTATATTTTATTAATGATTGGATTACTAACAATATAGTAACAATAGTAGTATTGGATAATGTTCACCCACAACTATTTGCCATACTATACCATATTAATAATGTTACACACAGACCCCGAGGTTTGCCCAAGCCCGGAATAGCGTAAATACCAGGGAAATCTGTACGACGTCAAACAACGGGAAGGATTTTATGTTCAATTATGTTGCTAGGGTGTTAACCAGAACATGTTGCTTCTATGTTACATATCATATAACCAGAACATGTCGGTTCTACATCATATAATTGTGGAAACAACCATACAGTCATTAGTTTGTTTTAATGTTAGAAGATATCAAAATCCCCCAGGCCCCATGGAACAATTAATCCTACAGTCATTAGGGTTTTTTGTAGGGTTTCAAGAAGATATCAAATTCATGTGCATAATAGTAATCATCATCGTCGTCGTGGTCGTCGTCATCGTCATTGTCATCGCCATCTTGGCTTGCCCGGACACTCGTTGCGAGTCCGGGCAAACCTCAGGGTTTTGCCGTAATATTAGGATATAGTAATTTCATATTGAGCCATATTAAATCATATTAATGTAAATTTGATTTGAGTCCAATAAGCTTACCAACAGTATACACACAGTTTTAGCCATATCATTGGAATCCAATTCACTATAGTAGCCATAGATTGGAAAATGCCACAATAACTCACAAGAATAGCAATCTACCAATCTACTGGGCCCCCGCAACTATAGACTAGGTGACTAGGTTAGTAATCTTTTGAATCCACAACGAGTTGTTTTCACCAGGACGAGACCACCTGGAATGACGTCGCGGAAGTCGTGCTTCCGACCCGACGCCGAAATGGTGGTGTTGTGAACCTTCCGCAGCCGCAGGAGGTGCGTGTGAAAAATTGTGGTCCCAAAAATGGTGTACTTCCAAGTCACCATAGTAGGTTAAACTGGTTAAACTATACTAAGTCATGGTCCAAGTCATGGTCATTTATGACTTGCATCCATGGATGACTTGGAGGTAGCACAATGACTTAGGACACCTCCATATGATTGAAATATAATGGGAATGATGGTTAAATAAACAAATATATGCATACTATATAAATCTATTTAATAATGATTATAATTTAATGATTCAGTAACGATATAACTACCTGCAGCCTCCAAAACCCACTTGTTTTGGGGTCGCTAGAAAAAAAAAACTGTTTTTTCAAAATAACCCGTTTTTTTTTCAGCAAGGCATTTGGTTACTAGAAATTATGGGTAAATTACTGGCAAATTACGGGTAGAAATTTGGAAAACCAGGTTTTTCCAAATCAAAATACCAGTTGTTTTCTTAAAATCTCGAAAAAAAAAAACGTTTTTTCGATTCCAACCCAAAAGAAGTTGGGTTAAGGGTGCCAGAGGTATATATATATGTATATCCCTTGAAATTCATACTGGGAAGGATCCCCCATCTCGGGACTGTCTACTGTGATGGTTGGGTGGTTCATCACGCCACGCGAAAATATGGACCATAAATGGAGGGATTAAATAAGATAAATAAGACCATAGACATGAATGATATGGACATATTATAGTATCTTATTGTATCTTATAAATGATCTGACTATAATATAGTATCTATATACATAGTCTATAATGCTAGTATAGTATGGATGATATGGACATGTAGATTCTACATATCCATATCATCCATGCTGTGGATAGTAGCTCCAGTTTTTGACCACCATGGACATCAACCACCGCAACATGATGGTTCATATTCCTACAAAAGATATTGGTACATATACGATATATGTCAAACCCTGCTACAGTACCATTGGACCATAGTTTTGCCAGCATTTTGTGCAGGTCGTTTGGCTGGATGTTCATTTTTTCACCAACTGATAGTCCCCAGCTGGTATCTATTTGTCCTCAAGTTCTACTAAGTTGGTTATATCCATGTGTTTGGGTTTGATCTGGTAACCATCCCACGCAAGTCATGTGACTTTGACAAATACATATGTTGCTTAAAAAAACAAGAAACAGATGAAACAGATGAGCTCAACCTTGGATCTTTTGCCATAAAATGGAGATATTACGCAGTTTCTGTTTAAAAGAAATCCAAGAGTTGGCCGCGCCAGGTGAAACGCACGGCCAAGCCTGCCAAGGCCCCGGCGCCAGCTGCCCCCAACCGGGGACAGGCGAGGTGGCGGCACGGTATGTGTTCAGGGTGAAAAACTGATGTCCTTTGGTGGACAAAGAAACACATGGATTTAATGATGATTTATGTTATTTAATGCTATGGCTGCATATTTTAACAACTATTGGATCTATTGGTTATTGGGTTTTAATTTTGAACCAACAAGCAGTTCTGAAGGGGTAAAAAACCAACGATAATGATCCATAATGGGGATATCATGTAGATATAATGGGGTACGTAATCAGAAATAAATATCATGTGGCTTTGTCCAGAAATCGGAAAGCTATAGTGGGGATGAAGAAACAACTATGGGGATATAGTTGGAATCGACAGTATGGTTGGGGATCGAAAGTCCCAAAAATCATCGGAACAAGATGCGATCAGTTGTCATATGGCTATTGTCCAGAGTAAATAGAGCATACCCCAAAGATCCATAGGTTTTCATCCAACTTGCAATCAACGAGGGTATCAATATTCTCTTATATCCATTTATATCCCATTACAGTAATGATGTAATGGTTATAGTTATTCTGGTTTCAATGTTGGCCCATATTAGTTGCCAAGAATAAGCCGCACTATAGTTCCCCCATTGTCTATTGCTCAAATCCCATCATGTTCATCCATGTTTTGGGTTGTGGCCTTGTTTTAGTGGACGGATTACTGGATAGCCATGCATGTTGTCATTTGTCTAATCCCACTTATAACTATATTACTGGATAGCCAACTACATATCTGATGCATAATTTTTTATCGCAGTAATATATACTATATCAAACTGTATCAGTATATTTTATCCCACTTATGGAATCTGATGCGTAGCCATCCTCTTAAGGCACCTGGATTCGCCATCACCGCGAGGCCCGGGCCCCGCAAGAAGCAGACAAGGGGGACAAGGCGTGGCGCGGCAAGGCGCCCTGGGCAAAGGAAGAGGCGCGGCAGCAATGGCGATTTAGCCATGAAATATCTACAGTATCTACAGTATCTACAGTATCTATCTATCGATCTATCTATCTATCTATCTAATCTAATCTAATCTAATCTAATCTAATCTAATCTAATCTAATCTAATCTAATCTATCTATCTATCTATCTATCCATCTACCTATCTATCTATCTCTCTCTCTCTCTCTCTATCTCTCTTTCTCTCTATCTATCTACCTACCTACCTACCTACCCATCTATCTATCTAAATATCTATCTAAATATCTATCTATCTATCTATCTATCTATCTATCTATCTATATATCTATCTATCTATTTATCTATCTATCTATTTATCCATCTATCTATCTACCTATATCTCTCTCTCTCTCTCTATCGCTCTTTCTCTCTATCTATCTATCTACCTACCTACCTATCTATCTATCTATCTAAATATCTATCTATCTATCTATCTTTCTATCTATCTCTATCTATCTATTTGTCTAGCTATCTATCTAATCTAATCTAATCTAATCTAATCTAATCTAATCTATCTATCTATATCTCTATATATATATATCTTTTGTATCTATCTTATCTATTGCGTCTATTTTATCTATCTTATCTATCTTATCTATCTATTTATCTACCTATCTACCTATCTACCTATCTACCTATCTACCTATCTACCTATCTATCTATCTGTCTATCTATCTATCTATTTACCTCTCTACCTATCTAGCTAGTTATCTATATTTCTATCTATCCATCTATCCATCTATCCATCTATCAATCTCTCTCTCTCTCTCTTTCTCTCTCTCTCTCTCTCTTTCTCTCTCTCTCTCTCTCTGTCTCTCTATCTATCTATCGTTCTATATATCTATCTATCTATCTATCTGTCTATCTATCTATCTATCTATCGATCTATTTATTCATGCATCTATCTATCCATCTATGAATCTTTCCATCCATCTATCTATTTATCTATCTATCCATCCGACCATCCATCCATCCATCCTTTTATCTCTCTTATCTATCTTATCTATCTTATGTATTTTACCTATATTGTCTATCTTATCTATATCATCTATCTTATTTATCTAATCCATCTAATGCATCTAATCTAATCTATTTTGTCCAGCTAGTCTATCTAATTAATCTAATCTATCTAATGCATCTAATCTTTCTAATCTATTTAGTCTACCTAGTTTATCTAATCTATCTAAACCAACTATTCTATCTAATCTATCTAATCTAGGTAATCTATCTAATCTATCTAATCTATCTAATCTGTCTAATCTGTCTAATCTGTCTAATCTGTCTAATCTATCTAATCTATCTAATCTATCTAATATGTTTAATCTGTCTAATCCATCTAATCTATCTAATCTGTCTAATCTTTCTAGTCTATCTAAGCTGTCTAATCTACCTAATCTATCTAATCTGTCTAATCTATCTAATCTATCTAATCTATCTAATCTATCAAATCTATCTAATCTATCTATCTATCTATCAATCTGTCTGTCTATCTATCTATCTATCTGTCTGTCTGTCTGTCTATCTGTCCGATTATCTATCTATCTATCTGATTATATATGTATCTGATGATCTATCTATTTGATGATCTATCTATCTGATTATCTATCCATCTGATTATCTACCTATCGGATTATCTATCTATCTGATTATCTATCTATCTATCTATCTATCTACCTATCAATCAATTTATCTATCTATTTATCTATCTGTCTATCTACTGTATCTATTGAGGTCATTTGACATAGGATTTATTTATCAGCCGCATCAAATTTATTCAAACATCAGAGTTCAGAAGGGATACTTTTAGCAAAAATTGATAGTCGGTATTAGGCATGGTTTTTTTTGAACATCAGTAATGGTTTTTCTTGGAGAAACAGAATGGAGGATAGTTATAGTATGTTATTCATGTCCATTGAAATTACCTGATGATGCCCCCGAAATCTAACATGGAAGCTTGACGAAATGGGACTTCAAACACTTATTCTATTGATGGAAACTGCCAGGTTTCTTTTTCACATGTCGTAGCAGGATTTATATGTTACCAACAGAAGTGCGGTCCACATAGATGCGCGGTACCAACACATTTCTTTCTTAGTATTAAACCTGTTCCGAACCATCCCCCCAAACAACAACACGAACCAACTGAGGTGTTGTCAAAAGGGGCAGTTTTGGTGAACGTCGCGCAGGATTGTTTTTTGTTCTTGCGAAATGATGACACAATTCTCAGTGGTTTACACGCAAAAATAGCGGAGCTTCTCCGATTCTTGCAAAGAAAACAGAAATGAAAACAAATTGACACATGAATTACAACATCCTTGCAAATTACAGCGACGAGTTGCACTGAATTCCTATTCCTGGATAGTAAAACCAATGATTCTTTTTGCCACGACCATCCCAACCATCGAACATTTGCTGTAAACTGCTGTAAACTCATTGTATGAATGAAATGGTCTGAGCAAAAGCCACTGTACATGGGTTGCAGCCATAAACTGGTGGGTAAAACAGTTTAACCATGTTGAACCTCTCAACAATACCGAAAAATCATCAAACGAATCAAATCACTTCCAAATGGACAGAAGTTTCTAAAAGATTGTAATGTACTCATGTTTGGGTCGGGGTGTTTATGTGGGTGTTTGCAGCGCCTGAATCCAGTGAAGGCCCCACGCCAGCGGCCCTGCAACTATGCAGAGGCGTCGAGTCATGGACCGGGTAGATGGGTAGATGGTAGTTATCAGCCACAGAAAAGGACAGAAATGCCGGATAATGCCGGTATAATTACCCAGATTGAAGTACTGTATATATATATATATTACTCATATATATATAGTGCTCTATTGACGGTTGTTTCTAGAACTTAGAACAACATAGATGGGTATTCCTCCAACCCTGAGGCCCTAAGGCAAAAAAAACTTCCACTTGTCGATGTGATCCGAGCTGGATCACCCCATCATAAGGCCTCAGATACCCTTGACGCCACTCTATGAATGGGGGCCAACATGAAGCCCTCATTGTGGGGAGTTTACCGTTCCGGGGGATACCTTAACTTCCATATGAGATAATTTAGCCAGTTCATGTTCTACATTAGATTTGGGATGTGTTTTTGACAGTCCAACATTTGGGATCTACCCTTTCGATCATGTTTTGGATTTCACATATGCATATATACTGTCTATGTATATATTTATTATTCATATGCAATCTATTTATATATAATTATAATTATATAATATATATATATATATTACGAACAAATACACACAGGACATCAGGACCTACCTTGGGGATGGTTTCCACTGTCACTTTGCTTCAGGCGGCTGGGGGTCATCGCCTCCCTGTGGAAGTACAAGAGTTGATGATACTTGGCGGCCACAGGGAACCAACACGCCGGTGACTTCTTCTGGTGATTTTGATGGTGTCCCCTATCTATCTTACAGGGATAATATTCATATAATCATACAATGGGATATAACCATCAAAAAATAGTTAGGAACGTAAGTATCAAAATGATAAATGCTGCCCCAGGTCTTGAACGCTAAGTTGGTTTACATATAACTCCAATAACTGGGGTTTATGGATGTTTATGGTAAATATAATATGTAAATATATTAATATAGCTAAAGTTGGTTTGTAAACCAACTTATCACTGGGGGGCACCACCTTGTTGCAAAATTTGCCCGGAAAGTCTCGGTACGTGGGGTTTTGGTCGATGCTTAGAGGGTGATGCTATGATCATATGTTCGATGAAGCAGCGAAAGACGACGTGCACAACATGGACACAAGGTTTCACCAATTCTCTGTCTGTTGTGAATATGTACTGATTTTTGGTAATTACTGTACTTTGTCGGTTGAGCGGTTTTAGTTCGGCTTGGGGGTTATGAAGTTGAAGCAGCCTTGGGGGTTTTGAAGTTTGAAGTAGCCCCTGGCAGTGTCAAACTGAAATGGTCCCACTATTTGAAAGATCCATTGGGTTGCATTGTCTTGCTGATTGCTTGGAGTATTGATACAGGAGATTGACCTTAAATATGTCCATCTTCATTTGCTTGCGAACATGCTACACATGCTGGTCATATCCCTACAGTTGTCAGTCCTCAAGTGCTGGTTTTTATTTTCTCCACCGGTGAAATCCCCATGAATTCTGTCCTTGGAGTCCCCAAGTTTAGCGTAAATGGAGCTGCCAGCATCAGATGGTTAACTCCCCATATCTCCCCATTCTCAGAATTGCTTCATGGGAAATTGAATTGTGTAGAGCTAATTTGGAGTACAGAAGCCAGGGTTTCTGGCAGAATGTCCCAACAAAACCAATCCCATCTGAAATGAATCCCATCCCGGCCCCTGGGCCCTTCCATGAATCAATCCACTCAGGAGCAGCATGGGTATCGCTGGCTCCCGCGATGATCTCATCGCTTTTCTGAACGCCAACAGTTCCAAGGAATGGCGCGCATGGAAAGGCACCAGCTTGCCCTGGAGAGTGGAGGAATCAGCATCTAGCTATACCACGACTTAGGGATCTTAGGGTATCCGGGTCCCAGGGTTTTCATGGGTTTTCACTCATAACTAATTGGGTAACCAACGAATGAACAGATCCAGGCAGATTGAACTCGTGAACTCCTGGGCGGAATGAGGATCCATTTCCTCAAGGAACCATAGTTTTGGATAGTTTTGGTTCTACCCAGGATGGCTGAATAAAAACACCTGGGTTAAAAGATGTTAAAAGTAAAAGATTGTTGATGATTTGTTTCATATTGATCCCCTATGATCTACAGTATATGTTTGGCTCTCCCTTGACTCCATTTCTCCGCTGAATTTTGCAAATTTTGGATGGCCCGCTTCGATGTTCGATTTAAGTACTAAAGATGCGTAGATTTTATCAACATAGATCTCACCTCAGCCCCTCATTGTTTTGATTATACCTATAATTAATTGCATGAAAAACCAACCAATTCATGCCATATTGTGCCGCTGTTTAACCAGATGTTGATGTGTTGCCACGATATGTCCCTATTTTATGGTTAATTAGTTATACCCCCATAGCCATCACCGATGGATTCTTACATTGGTGGGGGAAAAACATGTCGCAAATTGTCACACCCATGCACATATATATATATATATTTATACACAAAATCGCCAATACTCATGTATTGAAAATGCCATATATATAAGTATACATACAAATGCAAAAAGAACACACTCATAAACACTAAAAACCAGACCCCATTGACCCAATACGTGTGTGTGTGTGTTTGCGTGTGCAAAAATGAGGTATACAGCTCCTTTGAATTACCATGGTCGGAAAAGCACATATTCAAGTTATTTTCATAACCATGATTAACCAGTAGATTTAGGGCTGCCCTTTCGATCCTCAGGCGATCTGTCCTCCTACAGCATGAAGGCATGCAGATGGCGGAACTCAACGAGAAACATTTGTAATCTATTATAACTTATTAGAATCTATAAGCAACATTCTATAGCTAACCATAGCGAACCATTCAAATCTGGATATTTAATGATCTTTATCCATCCATATCCGAAAAAAATCTGGATCCAAGAAGAATGGGGTCCGAAAAATACCAGCTCTGGAGCTTAATCGGGATGGACCCCCCGCCTCCAATGTATGGAGGTATTTTCAGACAGGGCCATCTCATATGGGTATGGGTCAGAGTCCCAGGAAAGAACCATATATCATATATTTCTAGTGATGTGGGAATTGGATGGTAGAATTTTGGCTGAAATTCAAGAGTCAGTCGCAAGGGATGGTATCTCTTCTTGTTGTTGTTGTTGGTGGTGGTGGTGGTGTTGTTGTTGTTGGTGGTGGTGTTGTTGTTGTTGTTGCTGTTGTTGTTGTTGCTGTTGTTGTTGTTGTTGTTGCTGTTGTTGTTGCTGTTGTTGTTGGTGGTGGTGGTGTTGGTGTTGTTGGTGGTGTTGCCCAGGTTTCCGCATACTGCTCCGAGTCTCCAACTAATCATAACTAATCCAGACCTCCCAAGAGGAGAGTTGTCCCATGGCAGGACCTAAGTGGCTTTGCCAGCGAGCTCTTGAAGCGCATGGAGCAACCCGAGGTGACACGTGTGACCAGGTGATGTGGCTTGAAGTCCACCATCAAAGAATATTAGAATAGATCTGAATAGATGATCATTAATAGATGATTTTATAGATGATCATTAACATGTGTAATATTAATATTAGTAATATTTTTGTCGATGATCGTAGATGATATTACTTTAATATCACTTTCAAGGATGATTTGGACCGCGAGGATCAACGGAAAAATTGTCATCCTATCATGTTGCGTGTTTGCCAAAAGGTTGATCAGATGTGTTTGCCAAACACATCTCCCTGTGGTTAACTTGGTCAACCATTATATAGGATAGAACTTTGTAACTTAAGAGTTTTGGAGGATCAAGAGTCATTCAATGATGTTTAGATGTTCTTTTATGGATTTTATGGGATGAAAAAAAACAACAAACCACCACCACTTGTTGCGATTGTGACTAGTGACAACTGCACACCTGGCGGTTGTGACTGGTCATAGGCCTGGGGCTGGATATCCATTGTTGATGTAATAAACTGGTGGTGCCCCAGGTCGTTTAAACAAAATTGGTTTATAAGATTTTATAAGTGGGTTAACTAGGATTTCTATGGATTTCTGGTAGATGTATCATTATACATCAAGTCATGGGTTTATAAACCAACATATATATATATATATAACTGGTGGGCACTGGGCACCCCTTTGTAGATATTTTGAGAGCAACGTATTACGGCAATATCGTTTGAGTTGCTGAGGGGTTTGAGTCGAACTATGAGTTCAGTAGATTATAATCATATATAATCATCCTTTCTTGAAAATCATATAATCATATCAGGACATAATCATCATATTCAAGGACGTTATCATCATTACAATCATATAATATACATACTCAGAATCATCAACTCATAGTAATAATATCTACTTCAACCCATAGTTCAATGGGAATTCCAGGATCCTAAAATGGAGGTACTGTACCATATAAGGCCATATTTTGTGGGGATATCCCCTTACATAGGCCTTACATAGGCCTTATATATGGTAGGTACCTCCAATTTAGGATCCTGAAATGGCCATTGAATAGTTATAATATTATATATACACAACATTATATAATCATCTTCCTGATATGTCCTGACGATGACCACCTCAGATGCCCCGTGGAGCTGATGGTTTCGACGGAGCTGTGGCTGGTGCGCAGATTTTGGCATCTTGGCAATGAGCTTTCAACTCAGTGAAGCGATATTTTTTACATATGTATATGTGATATAGATTTTATAATATATTAATATACATATATTAATATACATATATTAATATACATAATATATATATATACATAATATATATATATGTACATATATTATTATTATTGTTATTTTTTATTATGAGTTTACCTGCAATTTAAGATTTAAGAAGGAAAGTCCTGATAAACCAAACTAAACCATGGGATTTTTCGGATGATTTTGGTGCGTGTTTTCTAGACTCCAACGGGGTTGAACCATGGGCATGGATGCGATCTCGCCAAATGGTGATCCCACTGGGCTACAGTAACTACATCTAATTACCCTCTGGCAAATAAACAGTTTGACCCTGAAAATCACCAATTTTTAATGGAAACTAGTCTTCCAACCCCGATGACTGCCAGGGTCTATGTTAATTTACCAGAGGGTACATGTAATTACATGTAATTACTTTGGTTGAACATGGTTGAAGAGATTCTACATGATTCTACAGTAGATGAGCCTGGCAATGTCTACTCAAAAAATGTCAATGTCTATTCTCTCTGGATTCTGATGGCCAATCCTGCCATGGACCTCTCAGGAATGGGTGCGAGGAGGAAAGACGGATTACAAGGACCCAACACAAAACGGGCCTCCCAAGGGGTCCCAAGGGGTGACGGTCAGTGGTTGGAGGCAATGGACTGTGTGTGTGGCTTGTGAGTCAGTTACTAACCATGGATTCCTTTTTTTTGGATATCAGGTATCCGAGTACACGTTTCATTTCGATCACCAAAACAATCAAATGAATGGAATTGTATTGGTGCTTTGATTTACGATAGGAATAAGCTAGTAAGCCTTGGCCGTGTTTTGTGGACAGGTTGTTCGTTTGTTTCGTTTGGGCATTTTGATGGAAGAGCATCTGGATATCGTTTATCAGATCATACCTGAAAATCAACTGCTCGTAGCCAGTGGCAAATGAATCTGGACCGGGACATGTGATTCAGTTGAGCACATGTTCCCCACTGGTGGATCGCATCTTCAGAGATGTCGGGTTTCTCACTGGCAATATGGTGAACCATCATGAACCATCACCACTTTGCTGGACATTAGGCCATCCCTTTCCCCATTGGTTGGCCCAAAAAGTGGGCATCCCAGAAGTCGCGCAGGTCCACTGGGATGAAGCCTAATAGATTGTGTGTGTGTGTGATGTCACCTGAATTCAGGGACAATTATGTCTTGCTATGGTCAACTGGGGATAGTTATGGTTAACTGTGTCCATATTGCTGAAATATGATTGGCAGGATGGTTTAGATTATGTCTTAGAGCCCTAAGAAAACATCCATTCGCCAGTTGCTGAGCCAGGAGACGTGGACATCGCCCTGTTCTCGGCTGTCTGTTTTTGAACGACTCGGTTGAAGGGAGCAAATACAAGAAACCATAGGAAACCCAAGAACTTGAAATCAACATATTGTGGATGGAAGAAATCCTGCACCAGTTGGTAGATGGTTTAACCCACTATATATATATATAAGCCCACTATTTACAGTGTCTTATAGTTACCAGTAGTTGCCAAACAGTGCAGTGTGCAGGATTTCTTCCACCCACAGCAGGAAACAATTGGAAAGTATGTTCGGAGGATAAACAACTTGAAGCCGTTCCATTGGTGTGTGCGCGGGCGAGTGTCTGTGTGTTCAATAGAGAAAGCCATGAAGTAGATGGCTGCCACAAAGAAGCCACCTATTACCCAAAAGTATCGCAACTATGCCTTGTTTTGTGTTGATTGCTGAACTTCAGCCAGATACATGTAGTATGTTCATGTATATACTGTAGTGAAAAGAACGTACTGAACTAGTTTTCACTTTTTTACACTACGTGAATAATGAGCAATTATAAACGTTATATATTTGCGAATACAATTGAACAGATCAGGTAGATAGATAGATGGATAGATAGATGGATAGATGGAAAGTTTGATAGATGGAAAGTTAGACAGATGGATAGATAGATCGATATCCATTCTACAGTATGATATGACACACACACACATATACTGCAGGTGTCACTGGATGTGATCACATGAGACCTAGTGGAAGTAATGATTGATTGGAACTCCCGTAGTTGTTCACTGCAATGAGTCTGCTGCCTGATGTTGCTTAGTTGTATCAATAGCCATGTTTGATGATGTCAAATTCACGTAGTATATCAAGTGAAATTTAGACCATATTATATACATGTACATATACATAATACCAATGCACATATTACACATATGTGTATATTTGTATGTGTATTCTGTTTATGTATGTTTATTTATGATCTTTGCACACTGTTCGCTGAACACCCTGAGGTCAACAGACACACCTGAAGCACAGAGTCACTTACGCGCCGAGGCCCAACTGTTGGGGCAGTCGCTACCCAGAATACAAAGTTCAGGTTAGTGAACTACTATGACTTATCATGTTTGACTCATCAGGATTTGCCCAAGAAATCATGAGAAATGGTTTGCTATTATGATGAAAAAAAAGGTATGGGGCAACAGCCAAGCACACCCCTGCTGAGTAGATTTCTGGTGGACCAGTATGGGAAACCCCATCAACAAACCAGTAGAAGAAACACATGTAGATTAGATTAGCCTGCAAAGAGAAAACCATATATATATATATGCATATATATATATATACACAGATGCACAATTGATTTCAATTACGGTACTGTAGTGTTTATCAATGTTAATACGTATGTAAAATGTGTTGTCTATATACCTACCTACCTACCTACCTACATACCTACCTACCTACCTACCTACCTACATACATACATACACCTACACCTACATACCTACCTACCTATACCTACCTACCTACACCTACCTACCTACCTACATACATACATACATACATACATACATACATACATACACACACAGACATACATGCGTACGTACGTACGTACGTACATACATATATATATATACATAGATATCAACATGTATCACACATTCTTTGAATCGAATAGCACTTATGATCACATGTTTCACATCTATACATTTAAACATACATACATAGACACATATAGGGCAGGTCTAGATTGTTTAAATGTAAGTGTATATGTGTGCCAACGCGTCTCCAACCCTTTGGAATTATGGACAGCAATCATATGGTACGCAGAACATCCTCATGTTGACATCACTTTCATGTCCTGGGGTGTGTGTGTGTGGGGAAATAATAATGATCAACGACATAATCTCTGCTTATTCAGCTTCGAACTTCAACAATCTTCGTGACATGAAATCCAGGTTACTTCTTTCGCACTTCTCACTCACAAGTCGCAGCATTTCGGACATGTCTCGCAATTGATGCGAGTGTGAAAAGGGAAAATTACAGCAGCACATGATATGATGAGCAGTTGATGATTCAATCATTTTGAGACATATGTTCATCACCAAGAACACATGAAAGCAGCATCATGTGAGAGTATTCATATTTCAAAGAGGTCGGACCACGTTGTATATCCATACACCAGGTATAATGTGGTGCCAACAATAAACCATCCCCAAATGGTGGGTTTATCATTGGCTTTCCATTCGTCAAAAAATGCTGGGAGATCTCTTCCGTGAAACGCTCCACCTGGATGACCTGGAATACCTGGATGACCTGGATGACCTAGGTGCTACATCCACCATAAGGGGTTACGTCCCCATGGTTAGTCAAACTCCCCATTGTTGACTTGTGCCACGGGTGCTGGGAAGCCTCCAGTCACGACAACCGGCAGGCTCCGGAATTTGTGCCAGCGGCAGAATCGTCAGAGGCCTTTGGGTCGGAAACCATTTGGGTTTTGGGTTCTATGGAGAAATCAGGGTGATGCAATGGGGATCCATGGGATAGATAAACATATATATATATATAATATTATGTATATATATATACATATAATATATCTATATATGTGTATCTTATTTTTTTTATATACATATGTGTATATATATATGGCCAACAATATATATATATATATGACATGGGTAGTCAAAACATATGAAGATTTGCCAGAACTTATGGCAATCGACTGTAATGTCAAAAATGATGATACTCCATTTGCCTTTGGGATGCTCTATTTTCAGATATGCATACATAAATATATACATATATATAATGTGTATGTTGCCAGGAAGTACGGTCTTAGGAGGTAATCCAAAGGGGAGTATTACATATATTTACAATATAGATGCATACACTCATGCGTGCATATCTGTTTCATTTCAGCGGGGGATGTGTTTGTTTGCTTGATTGACTTTAATTGTGAAGCAACTAGTAACAAAACAACATGTCGCATGTCGGCCACCGAGACTACTAGTGGACTGGGCTTATTTCCCCAAACTCCACGGGTGAATCATAAACTTTCAGACTCCAGTAGATTTACTGCAGTAACGGCTGATAGACCCAACAATGTACTTTTTTGCAGGGTATTGTTTTACTTTTCAGGATTTTTTGGGGCTATACTCCGTTATCATCTAAAGTAGCAATACAATTCAGATCAATACTGATTTGTTACGGGAATTACTTGCGCAGTACACAATGTACCGGAAGCTGGTGCAGGTCGATCCAGTTTACTCCAACTGTTTTGGATTGGCCCCTTTGGGATTGGCTCATTTTGTTGTCAACCCTCAAAAAATTGGATGGTTCAATGCCAAAAATGACCAACATCAGAATGATTTCTGGTTTGAGAGCATCTTTGGTGACAATTACAGAGAAGCAACCAAATTGCATTGGTAGATTCGGCATCCCCTGGCCCCCTGGTCATACATTTCATCTTGGGCATAGGTTGCACCAACCATCATGACCGTCGCAGTGCCTGCGGAGCTTCCGCCGGGAGCCTTCAGGGTTACTGCTTGGAATCCAGCATGGGCTTGGCAATGCCACTTTGCTATGTGCTAAAATTCTAAGTTTCCAATAGTGCTGAATGGTCAAGATTGGTCAACCCAATAATTGTGTTGTCTTCATGGCGAATTGATTTATCCTTGTTTGGTTTTGCTTTCGACTTGTTTTCTTTGTAAAAGCAAAGCTATATTCCAAACTGGGTGCAAATTTTAGATTTGATTGGCATGCATTGGAGCCCTATGTTCGAGGGTTCTGATGCAGATCGATTGTATCTATCATAACCCCTGTGATTCTCGGTATGGTCAAAAAGATTGAACCCAAAAATTGGATAGTTAAAAACACCTGGTGCTGTATGACTCCATTTCCCTGCGTAAAGACCTATGATAGTAGTTGCTTGATGGTCTCCAGCAGCTTGCCTTTTGGTTCCCAGTTACTGTTCCGTACAGTGGTGGCCCTTTACCAGCTACCAGTTATGAGTCAGTTGTAACATGTTATAATCCCATTTATGGAACGATCACCCCAATTATAGTGATAACGAGTTATTCCCACATCCATTCAATGCATACCCTCATTTGTACCCAGTTACAACTGGTATATAACTGGTATTTGGGGCTTTCAAATGCAGTTCATGTTACACACGTTAGTCATGGTTCCATGCTGAGGCCGGGCTGCCAAATCGTGATGGTACCCGTGCAGCTGGGACAGATGCCGCAGAACATGGTGTTTGAGGACGATTGGAAAACCATGGCGGAAATGGCTGCGGCTGCAGAAATGTCATGTTATTGAACCGAACCAACAGACAATATGGATCAATATGGTTATGTGTCAAAACGCGAGGATCCTATATATAGATACCCTAAGTCATAGCTGGTGAATGGATGGTTATTCCATGTTATTCCCTCAAATATGATAACAATGGGTTTTGACCCATCCCCATATATCAGGATATTTAAAGCCAATCAAGAAAACGCATGGGAGTGCATTATCAAAAAAGGAAAAGTGTGGTTAATACTCGGTAAGTATGGAGAGGAATTCACATCCACATTTTATGGGTTTGTCTGAACAATGGATTCACTTGCTCAGTCAAAACAACAATCAATGTTGGTAAATCAACCGTATCGTGGAGGGCTGATTTGCAACAGAACCGGAGAACTAACCACAATGGGCAGCAACATAGTCGCAAAAGGCAGCTTATCTAGACCGCACAAAATCGTACACATACAGTCACATACATATCCATATGCATGAAATAAAGTGATATATTCAATATGTTTTCTATTTGTGTATATTATCATGATTTATTGCTATAATTATTATTATTTATTTATCTATTTATTTATTTATTTACAGTATTTTATTTATTTATTTGTTTATTTTATTTATTTATTTATCATAGTTTTCTTTTTTAGTAGTGCTAGTAGTAGTAGTAGTAGTAGTAGTAGTACTAGTACTAGTACTAGTAGTAGTAGTAGTAGTAGTAGTAGTAGTAGTAGTAGTAGTAGTAGTAGTACTAGTACTAGTACTAGTACTAGTAGTAGTAGTAGTATGATGATATTTATTTATATATATATATACAATATATGTCATGTACAAAATAGGTATACACGATATAGTCAATCAGGGGGAAGCCACAGATTCTATCCGGGGTGGTCGATGGGATCATAGCCACATCCTGTTGGTTGACGATTGTTTAACCTCTTGTTGGCGAAATCCACAGTAAAAAATGGTAAACCCAATGACAAGATAGAGTAAACTGAGTAAACCATCCCCAGTATGACCATAAGTCAGTGGGTTGTATCCACCATCCCCTAAGTAGTATTGTTATTGGTGTTGTTGTCGCTGTTGTTCGTACAATGTGTTTTCTTGAAACAACTCGCACTCATCATCGCTACATGGTTTGACATCAGTCAGGAGCAAATGTCATCAGAAATGCCCGTGGCAATCATGCCGGGTCCTCCTTATGGAGGTGTGACTTGTGAGTTTGGAGTGTTGAGTTTGGGCACGTGGTAATATACCTTCCTAGCCTAAGCATTCATGAAAAGGGACACGGATGTTTGATAGTTTATTGGGTGGTGACACATGGGAATGTTTTCCTACAAGAAGGGAAACCTTCTCAGTTTTAAACATGTGTCTAATCTGAGTTAGTTACCGGTCATCACCCGGATTTCCCGAGTTACATTTGCCTACATTTTCTTCATTTACCCTCACCAAGTAATGGATTAAGAATTCTTGTTTGGAAGTGATGTTCAGCCTGCAACAGTAGTCCGTGAAGAGGTGTTGCAGGAGTAATTATAATTTTTGAGTAAGTCTGGTTTAGGTCATGGTTTTCCCATGAGAGTAATGCAATATCTCACCAGCAGTAATGTTTTCCTTTCGGCAGGGTTCTGCAATATCAACCACAAAATGTTCGAATCACTTCCTCTCGGCATTTCATTTGCTGCGCGGGGTTGACGGATGATTTTGCATCAGTTTTTGCATCATGATGTTGGCATCTTTTGGCATACATGGCCCAGCTTAAAAGACAAAGCAGTGCTATTTCGCAGGGTAACGCTGTAAGGCTTTGGTTTGTGAAATAGTGATTGTTTATGAAAGCCCACTAAACAATCTCTTGCGCTGGAAACATCTTGGGTAGCCACCTTTGCCTGGAAGACACTACCTAAGAAACCAATCTTTAGCAGGGCATTTGTGATCTTCTGCCAGGGATGCAGATGATGGCTATGCCCTGTGAACTCCCATCGATGGAGTCCCTTGGATCCCAGGAGACCAGGGCCCAGGCCCATCTCAGTGAAACAACAAATGGATACAAATGGTTCTTAGAACTATCCCTTGGATCCAATCTTGGTAATATCATCATTTTACAGCTAGTTTGTAAATGTGACAATACAAGCCACTTGCTAAGTGTGTACTATCCCTGACAGAATGTGATGGAACAACTGGGATATCAAACATGTTTGATGTCCTATCCCCAAAGATTGATGATCCCGCGTAACTCCCGTTTTCCGATCTTTTTGGGATGGCATAATACCACCAATTCACAGCGTCGTCGATGCCCAATCCAGTTTGACACCACAGGATTAAGAGGATGATTTTTAACTCTGACAGGTGTACAATCAGAATCCAATAGTTTTGCTCAATTCTTCAAACCGCCAGATGTATGACCAGCTGGCTGACCAACTGGCTGTTATGATCAGCGCGCGCACACACACACACACGTCCACAGACCCATCATGACTGACGATGTCCTCAATGATAATGCTGACATCATCGCATGGGGCTCGATGATGTACAGTAAGGATTCCCAATCAAACAAGCAAACCACAGAACCCATCTACAGGTTGCGGCCTTGCTGTTGGTGCTCCCACATATTCTTCTGCCTATGTTTACAGCTTCACTTCCCATTTCACGAGCCATTTGGGATGGATCAAGACCTACCATGACTGGGGGATCAAATATCCATGGATCATGACCATTCTGTCGCCATTCCCCTAAAAGCCCTACAATGTGGGGCCCCCGAACGATAGCTAAGTCGTTTTATATCTCCCATAACTATTGGGATGTAGTAGATATAACATGATATAACATGATATAACATGATATAACATGATATAACATGATATAACATGATATAACTAATCATTGTTAATGGGGTTTACCAACCTACAACTAGGAGGCCCCACATTGTAAGTATTGCTTGTGAAATCCCAATGATTTCACAACTCGACCCCGCCAAGATCGCCGGAAGCGCCTCAAACTCCAGTGGAAGCCACGGTTGAGGCCCTTCTTTTGGATTCTTCGCTGGTCATTAAACCATGATAAGAATATGATACGATGTTAATATCAAACAACAAAACCTTGTCATTGTTGTTCAATGATGTTACATGGTTCTATTCCATGGCATTTTCTGGATACAGTCTTCAGGATCAAATACCAAAAAGGCCTCAGTTCAACCAAACAATGGTGATTCAGCCAACATGGGGAGGGTCATTGTGAATGATGGTTCGAGAGCTTGCAGAGTGCAATCTTCATCTTCGTTCACTGAAAAGTTACCCGGAACTCCAAGTTGGCATTGGGGGTTTCTTAAAATGGGGCATCCCGAAAACCATAGGCCATATTAGGTTTCAATACTCAAATCTGAATTTGAATTTGGGGGTACCCCGATTTTAGGAACCCCACGAATTGATAATCTTCAAAATTATTCTGCTGGAAGTGGGGATTCTCTTGGTTTCTATTTGGTTTCTGGCTGGCTCCGGCAAGATCTTCTGTCCAGCACGAACTTGTCAGGAGAAAACACCCGAGTGCCCTGGCAGATCAAGTGGTGGTGTGGTATAGATTCCGTGTCCCCAAACTAATGGGAGAACCATCGATGTCAATAAGTTCCCACTATCTTCAGCTTCAACTCAGTGCATCTTCAATCCCTGCCCCCCCCCATACTGTATATAGCCATGAACCTTCCCATGCAAAGAAGGACTGTGACGAGTGGAAAAGAATGGAACAAACTGTGTCCGCATTTGAGTTGTTTCAACAAGATTCGGATAGATGTAGGTTTTGCATGGTTATATCATGTTATATTTAGTATAGAATAATTGATTAATCAATATAATACATATATATATATATATAATAGTGTTTGTTAATATATTAGCACCATGTATGTCAGACCCAAGCTTGGTGTCAGCAAAACTACTCCTGTGCTGAGTCCCAATGCCTCTGATTGGCAGATTGAAATGTGAAGGACATGGCGAGTGAACATGGCGGGTTAGTGAAGCTATGAAAATGGTAGATAACAAGTCACAATAATGCTAGTATACATAAATTATACATATAAACCAACAACTAAGTGTTTGACCCGTCTATATTGTATATATATATATACTTTTTTTTTTACACGGAGCTTCAACCAATGACATGGTGTAATGTGAAAATGCAATCAGTTAGCCCCTGCACTCTACTGAGGTACTGTGGCTATAACACGGACGACGAGTGCGAATCAATTTTTGGAGACGTGTGGATCTCAGACATTCATAGCTGTCTTCCCAACTTGCTCATATCTGGGACTTGAGGGGTTTTCATTCACTAAATACCCAAGAGGTTCTTGAATTCTCAAATCCTTATCTTCTCTTTTGAAATGGAACTACCAAACTACCAGCTTCAACCAACATAGATCTCCAGGACAACCCATTTGGCAGTGTCTAGATTTGTCCGAGAGAGGGTGTGTTATATACGTTAATTTAGCACAAAAATGAACTTATATATGTGTTTCGATTGGCCAGGGAAATTTCGTTGTTTTTTGCATCACAACGGCAGTATGTATGGAGTTTCCCCGTTGATTGTCAAGTAGCAGGAGAAGTTTTATGCTTTGCACGGTGGTTGAGGAAAATTAGACAAGAGATATGGAGACAACAAAGAGATACAAAGAGCGTGTGCGTGTCCAAGTTGATTATGGAAGTAGTCTTGGATCTCAACATATGCATTTTGTTGTTGATCCCATGATGTGAAAGGTAGTTCAGCTCAGTGAAGAACGACTGGCGTTGCTCATGAGTGGAGTTCTTTCAGCCCGATCAACTCCCGTCAGCAAAGATCCGTTCTGGGTGGCAAAAAGTTCCATGTCAGATCCTTGTAACCCTTTTTTCCTTTTTCTATGGTTCACTTGAAGCAACGGAGCAAAAGAAAAGTACAGTACCTTGACCTTTAAAGTACCTACAGAAGTTGGCAGAAGTTTCAAACTTTGGCTGTAAAATAAAAAAATGTTACAGGTAAATCGAGGGTCTAGGTGTGTCGAATGGGTTTGACGGAAAGCCTGTATACCGGAAACACCTGTATGTGGAATTATGTGGTGGTCAACAAAATGAAATCAACCCTAAATGCTTGCTTAAGCACATCCAATCGACGCATAGCAGCCACGGAGTCGCAAATTCTTAACACTTTCAGAATCTATGAGACCTTTGTAAAACCCGCTCTCCATATGAAATCAGAAAAATACATTCCATCATCATGACATTCTAATTGATTTATACAAAATCCCCCGCACGAATCTGAACTCATATTCAGCCCATGAAATCCACATAAAAACTAACAACATCACGTGAGCCGTTCAGTACTCCCCTGATCATTTATTCTCAGTACACCTGGTTGATTGGGGATTGTGATATATAAATGTATGTATATATATATATACACATATGTATATATATATATGTATTCAGATAGATAGATAAAAAGATCGATCGATAGATGCTGGATAGATGGATAGATGGATAGATAGATGGATGGATGGATGGATAGATAGATAGATTAGATAGATAGATTAGATAGATTAGATAGATTAGATAGATTAGATAGATTAGATAGATTAGATAAATTAGATAGATTAGATAGATTAGATAGATTAGATAGATTAGATAGATTAGATAGATTAGATAGATTAGATAGATTAGATAGATTAGATAGATTAGATAGATTAGATAGATTAGATAGATTAGATAGATTATATAGATTAGATAGATTAGATAGATAGATAGATAGATTAGATAGATTAGATAGATTAGATAGATTAGATAGATTAGATAGATTAGATAGATTAGATAGATTAGATAGATTAGATAGATTAGATAGATTTAGATAGATTAGATAGATTAGATAGATTAGATAGATTAGATAGATTAGATAGATTAGATAGATTAGATAGATTAGATAGATTAGATAGATTAGATAGATTAGACAGATTAGATTAGATAGATTAGATAGATTAGATAGATTAGGATAGATAGATTAGATAGATTAGATAGATTAGATAGATTAGATAGATTAGATAGATTAGATAGATTAGATAGATTAGATAGATTAGATAGATTAGATAGATTAGATAGATTAGATAGATTAGATAGATTAGATAGATTAGATAGATTAGATAGATAGATAGATTAGATAGATTAGATAGATTAGATAGATTAGATAGATTAGATAGATTAGATAGATTAGATAGATTAGATAGATTAGATAGATTAGATAGATTCGATAGATTCGATAGATCGATAGATCGATCGATAGATAGATAGATAAGTCTATAAATACATAAATAGATACATAGATAAATAGATAGACAGACAGACAGATAGATAGATATAGAGAGTTGTTTATAATTCTATTTATTCGGTATATATGTAACACATATTATTATATTATACTATCAATATATTATTTATATGTCTAACTTTCAATAACCAGCATGTTTCATGGCGAATGTAGCCATAGCTTCCCATGTTCACCAGGCTGCCGAGAGCACCCTGAGACGTCAGAAGACGTTCTGAGGGACGCTGTTCACGCGTCTAGCGTCGGGGGCCTCCAAGTGAGAAAGACATGGATGTGGCGGTTTCGATGCCACTGCTCCACGTATTTTCTATAGCTTGGTGCCATAAATAGTGAGAAAAATACAGAAACCAATCTTAGTGTAAATGGATGTCTATAGATGTTGTTAGTGGGATATAATGCGTGTATATATATATAGTATATATTTATGTATGTATATAAATGTATATATATAGTATATATATATAGTATATATATAGTATATATATAGTATATATATATATGTATATATGTATATATATATAGCATGCATATACATATATTTACATATATATACATACATATATATATACATATATGTACATATATATATGTATATAGAATACAACCCTGGGAAGTGGGATGTGGGTATGCCCCAGCTACAAATCGCTACTTCTGGCAACATCCAAGGACATGTGGGTGATTTCTAGGGCAAATGTTGGCACATATTCCAGCACCATGGTGCAATTTGGATATGTTGATATGAGTATCGACAAAATTATCAGCATTTGAAAGTAGAGAGCTGCCTTGAACTTTGCCCGCCTTCACGAAACCTTCACAACGGATAGGGGACGACCCAGCACCAATACCCCTAGATTCCAACAAGTTCCAACGATTATCTGCCGTAGTTATTTATTTCTACAGCAACGGCTACAAACAAGGCAGTAAACAGCTACCTCAGCTAGCTCTCCGCCTATAGAGCACCAAGCATATTGTTTACGGCAATTCATGCGCCATTCCCACCGATGCCCCAACCGATACAAAACCATACCAAATTTTGCAATTTTCCTCACTTGCCGAGACCATGCCCCACGTACTACTCCTACAACTTACTACTCTGACTACTTTTCCTACTATACTCTATTCGTACCCCTCTTACTCCTCTTACTAGTACTACTCTTAACTACTCTTACTACTCATACTACTCTTACTACTCTTACTACTCTTACTGCTGCTGCTGCTACTCCTACTAAAACTAATGCTACTACTCCTACTTCTACTCCTGCTCCTACTGCTACTGCTACTGCTGCTGCTACTATTATTACTACTACTGCTACTACTTCTACTACTACTACTACTTCTACTACTACTACTACTATTACTACTACTACTACTGCTACTACTGCTGCTACTACTGCTGCTAATACTACTACTACTACTACTACCACTACCACTACTACTACTACTACTACTACTACTAGTACTACTACTACTAGACTACTATTACTTCTACTTCTGCTACTACTTCTTCTTCTACTATTGCCACTGTACTGCTAGTGCTAGTACTACTAGTAGCACTTGCTACTGGATGTTATCAAAGAAGGAAAACCTTCACAACCGATAGTGGACGACCCAGATTTGCTTGTGGCAATTACGGGGAACAAATAATTTTGTCCGCCACTCATATGTTGGTTCCAAGAAAAAATCGATGATTTAAATCAAGAGAAATGCCGAAGGGTTGATGATTACCGGTTCATCCAAGTCGCTTTGGGGTGGGTGCCCCAAGTTTTGGAGGTAAACATCGTCGCAACGCGACACCAAGGTCTCCAGTCCGCATCGCGGTCACAGCCGTGCGAGTTGTTCATTCGTTGGAACCGTTGGAGTTTGAGTCGAACTGAGCGAACTGATTGTTTGAATGGTTGGGATAGTTGAGATCCAGGAGAGTTGCCGTGCCAGCGCAACTCTATGTTAGCCTTTGATCTTTTGAAGCAGGCTTGCGCATCAGGAGGAGTTACCATGACACGGTTGCAAAAAACGTTCCTTGTTTGGTTGTTCCTGAGCATCTCCACCTTTGATGCATATCTTTTCACTACCTTGAATTTTCAGAGGCAACGCGTTCACCTTGGACATGCGGCACAGCCTTGGCAGGAATGCAGTCTGCTGATGCTTATGACACCTTGCAATGGTGATATGTGAACTCCAGGTTTGTTGGTGAACAATCGTGAAGTTTTTTTTTCATGGATATCTTCAACACGCGCTGAATTGTGCAACTGTTCAGATGTATTGCATTGGCAGTTGTTCACATGTTCTTGTGCATTTCATTTCTGAATTATCCATGTGACATTACCATTATTCAATAACATATGGTAAGGTACACTGCTGGATGTATTTCGGCTTTTTTTCGGTGGACCGGACATTTGTTACACAATGGTTTCTTGGTACTTCTTTGAGGTGAAGGTAGTTGCTTGGTGTCGTGTAGCCTTGGAATCATGATACTCAAACAGACACAGGCACCACAGACCGACAGAATAGATGTAGCAACATGAAGAATTGTCAAGGGATGCAATCATTGCTTTCTTTAAATTTGTTCGTCAGGGTGATTAGTGTTTCTCTAGTGACTCTGGGCTGCCACGAAACAGACCCCGGCTGCTGCGGCAGTCCATTGTGACTCTCACGATTTTCGTTGCCGGGCTCAGTTTCGATTTATGGGTCGGGCAGTGGCCCCATCAGATATGCGGTCTTGAGGGTGGCAAAGAAACCTGCGCCCCTGCTATATATATATATATACATACATACTGTATATGATTGTATGATCAAAGGAAGTTTAGAAGTCAAACTTCCGAGAATATGGACAGATGGAAAAGCAGAGGTGGTAAGAGTCAGAGAAGAGAAAGAGCGCGAAGAAAGAAGATGCAGGTGCGCGAAAAGGTCGGAAAGTTGCGATTCACTGTGTTTTTCCAATGATTTGTGGCTCCGGAGGGTCGAAAAGTAGGCTCGCTAAAGGGGCAGGTGCGGAGCCATGTGGTGAGATGAGAGATGAAAAGTGCACGCCGTTGTGGCGCGAAGCACATTTACAAGTCAAAATGTACAAAGCACCGCAGTGTCGGACCACTTTTGGAAGTCGACATGTCGAAAAAGTGCACGCTGTTGTGGCGCGAAGCACATGTCCAAGTCAAAAGTGCAAAAAATGAAGGGCACGGAGCACTTTTGGCTGTTCAGATGTCGTTTTGCGTGGCAGGCGCAGGGGATTGTGCACCTTATGAAAAGTCAGCAAAGCGTGAAGGTTTTGTAGCACTTTCAAAAACGATGGCAGGCGAAAAACGATGGCAGGCGTGGGACATTTGAAGACGGTCTGGAAAGAGGCATTTCGCGTGGCAGGTGCAGTATGCAAGAGACATATGCGTGACAGAGATTTCCTGAGAAAGATTGCATTTTGGAGCATGAGATCTTCAGGTTTGCTAAGATGATTTTGCGTGACAGGTGCAGCACGTCGAATGACTTGGCATCCCTTTTTTAGTGGCAGGCGCAATAATTTAGAGACATCGACTGGAAAAATCGCAAAACGCATTGGTACCAGGCCGTCAAATGCCGTCAACTCTGCACTCAACTTTCCATTTTTGAAAGAAGTCTCGCAGAATTGCTTCGTTTTTGATGTTGTCAACTTGAAAACTTGAGGAGGTCTCACAGAATAGCTGCGTTTTTGACGACGTCAAGTTCAAAAGTTGAGGAAGTCTCGTAGAATTGCTGCGTTTTTGATGTTGTCAAGTTCAAACATTGAGGAAGTCTCGCAGAACAGCTTCGTTTTCAAATATGCAGATAGATAGATATAGATAGATAGATAGTTAGATAGATACATAGATAAACAGAAAGACACATAGATAAACAGATATATAGATAGACAGATAGATAGACAACTGCAACTGCACTACACCACACTACAACTACAACTTCAACTACAACGGCGCTACCACTACAACTGCAACTTCAACTACACTTCAACCACAAGAACTACAGATACAACCACAACTACAACTTCAACCACACTTCAACTACAACTACAGCCTCAACTGCAATTACTACAACTACAATTACTACAACTACAATTACAAGTGCCACTACAGCTGCAACTGCAACTGCATCTGCAACAACTGCAACAACTGCAACAACTACTACAACTTCACTACAACTGCAACTGCAACTACAGCTGCAACTACAACTGCAACTACAACTACAACTGCAACAACTACTACAACTACACTACAACTGCAACTGCAACTACAGCTGCAACTACAACTACAACTTCAGCTAGACTACAACTACAACTTCAACTTCAACTACACTACTACAACAACAAGTACCAAGACACTACACTACAACTACACCTACAACTACAAATACAACCACACTACAACTACAACTGCAACTACAACTACAACTACAACTACACTACAACTACGGTAACGGCATTTAAATATGTGGAGGGCGGGCCTGAACGCGAGGCACAAGAGGTAGTACAAAAAACCAGTTCGTTTTTTTTGTAGTTTCCGTATGTTTAAATGAATTGGATTCCGTATGTTTAAATGGCCGGGCGGGCCGAGGAAAAACCTTCCCGGAGGTAGTCTAAAATACTTGTTCGTAGCTTTTTATATCCGTATATTTAAATGCAGTTACCGTACAGCTACACTACGGATAGATTTACAACTACAACTACAACTCCTACAACTATTGCAGCTACTACAATTACGTACCACAATTAAGACAAGTACAACTTCAACTACACTACAACTACAACTGCAACATTACAATTCCAACAACATCAACACACTACAACTGCAACTACAACTGCAACTACTGCAGTGCACCACGCTACATCCAGGAGTTGTGAGTGAGGTGGCAACCGCAACCATTGCAATGACTCCAAAAAGGACAACTCCAACCAACTTTCGCTCCATCAGTGGATTCGCTCTGCCATCCATGCCTCACAACAACTCACCTCTCCTATTTTATAGCGTCCTATCCTTGAAACTTCCGCCACCGCCTTGTGCGGCACTACTGGCATTACATACACATTTTGGGGGATGGTCATATCTCGAGCAACAGGGAACTATAGTGACCAACGCAAGGATTCCCGATAATGTTGGGATGAGAAAACCCATATATTACGTCTTGAAGATGGTACATCTGCCAGTGGTGGTTTCGAGATTTTCGAAGCAGTGTGTTTACCCTGTGATGATTACTGCAATAGTGCAGCATGAGATACCAGTTTAACATTTAAACCATTCAACAATTTCAACAATTTCAACAAAGTGGTGTCCATTGGTGCCCCATACTTAGAACATTTGGTTTCTAAGTACAATAACTGGGATTTATGGGGAATATATTTATAGTCAGATGGGTTTATAAACCAGCAAACATAACTGGGGGCCGATTGCTGGATGACATTCACCAAGTATTGCTGAAAATAAGTGTTGCTTGTGCTGGGATGATTGTTAGTAGTTACAGATGTTACAGTAATATGGGTCATTTCTCCATTCCGCACTCAGCACCAGTGAGTTTTTGTTACAGTGACCAGATGTTGCCACTGCTGCCAACACAGTTTCTTGACCCCAGCAGTGAGCTGATTTTCTTTGCTGGTTTGGATTACATCCTCCGGAGCTATTCTCGCTGCTAGGCCCCGTGGGCGACTGATGGTTTCTTTACAGGAAGCTGTGACTGAATTGATGGTCTCTGAGTGTCTATCAACACTGTATAAGACTTAAGACTGCGGTTTTCCGTTGGAATGAGGGCCCCGGTGTCTTCCAGAATGCTGAAAAGCACCTTCTTGGGCATCGGTCACCATTTCGTTTCAAGGTTAAACCGCCATTAGGGTTGAACCAAGTATGTGTCAATGGTGAAATGCTACAATCAGATACTTTTAGTTCCAACCTTGGGTAGAAATCGAACATGACAATGGAAAATTGCCATTTGGAATAAGATTCGGAATAAGAAAATTATCTACTCTTCGCTAATCAAACATGGCAATGGGACATCCCCAATAGATAGAGATTTGATTACGTTTCGAAGGTCATCCTGAAACACGTTTCTAGACTGGAGATGTTTCAATCTACCGACCTGCTGTATGGACCAAAGGGACTTGATATCATCTTTTTTGGAGACGCTTCAGGCAGTGGGAATGCTTTTGACAGGGTGGGTATGCACCGACAGCCGACAGCTATGTGACAGCTATGCCCAGCATCTCTTTGCAGATGGGCGATACAGGCCCTGTGCTGGTTCTGTCGGGCAGCCAGGATGCATGTTACAGGACCACCTTTGGATATTTTAGTGGGAGATTTGTCTCTACACCAACGGGGATATGTATATGTAATTATATATGTATAGTATATGTTCATAAAATGTATCATAGAGTTATATATCAACAACATTTGCACCAAGTGAAAGCCGATTGTTTTTTTAATGTTTTTCCCCTAGGGAACTATCATTAATTAATTGACTTTGTATCAACAATATTGATTAACGGTATATTTCATTTTGTTTCCCATTGATGATTATGTATCATTGATAGTGAAATATACCAGTCCCCGGCGCCCCAACAGACCCAGCGTTTGGGATGGACAGGTCGTGCGAGGCCAACGCGTATGCACGACATTCCGTGGCCAGCCTGGCAGGGCTCACGTCGTTCACGAATTGAATGATGAGATTTCCATCGAAAAGCAACTGGGAATCAACAAAATGATATAAAATGGTGATTTAATGGGATCTATTGGGAGAATTCAGTGGATCTAATTGGATCAACCTTTGGTAAATCATCTGCAATTGAGCCATGGCTTCCGCAGCCATGTTAGATTACCAGAGGGTAACCATCATTTATGATACGTATTTGCTTTCTAATATGGTTGAACGCTAAAATAGCTAGTTAATTTTTTCTTGTACACAAAATATTAGAACATATTTGAACATGTTTTTCACGAGCTTAGATGTGTACGTGCAGTTTAGCATTTGGCCATGCATCAGTTTTTTGACAAA